CTTGCCTCTAGCCTCTCTTCTCTCCTCGCCCGTTTTGTCCTTAATCTCCAGTATCCAGAAAGCCTCTGGTCCTTAAGGCCTCGTCCCGCCCTGGTCCTCGCCGACGGCTATAGGTGCGCTGGTGGAGGGGCTGTTCGGTCTCAACATGGTGCTTGTGCGCATCGGCTTTGAGCTGCTACGCCGTCGTGGCTTTAGCGACTGGCTCCACCGCCTCATACAGTCCAAGCTAGAGCGGGTGCGGCGGCCTGGTTTCCTGGATAAACTGCTGCTGCGGGCGCTCGACCTGGGGTTCACGGCACCGCAGCTGCGGAACATACGCGCGGTGGCGGGTACGTGCATGCGACATGTGCTGTTGGGGGGGAAAAGACGAACCACGAACGAGTGAAGCTGCTGCCAGGGCAAGAGTGTACCAGAAGTAGGACTGACCAAAAGGCGTTCTTGAAGGCGGCGACCCCGGGATGAAGTAGTGAAGATGATAGGGGGGATTATTGCTGCAAATGGTGGTCTTGGCACATGTTAGGCAGGTGTATGCGTACTTTTGCTGTGGCATTGTTAAAGGGACATGCAGGCAAATTGTACACGCATTCCCGTGGATTTGAGATGGGAAAAATGGGTGGGTGGCGGCCACGGTGTCGGCCATGTGCTGGGTTTTAGCTGTAGTGGCTGGGATTGCGAGAGTTGGGTTTCCAGTCCTTGTGCTGAGGGAAGCGCTCAGCGCCCATAGACTTGGCTCCTGTCCCACACGCCGCAATCTAAAAAGGGGTTCTTCACGTCACTTCGTGGCTGGTTGTTCTCCCTCCCCCCTTGGCCCTCGCCACGCGCACACCGTACCGCAGGGCCCAACAACTTCGGTCCGGACAGCCCCATCTGGCCGCAGCTGGCTCTCGACGTGAGTGCCATTACTGTATCTGCAGCCAGTGCAGCGCCCAGGGCGGGTGGTGCTAATGCAGGTGGTAGCTGTGCAGGGTCCCGGGTAGACCTCAAGAGACCCCGCTGAAGGTGCTGGTGGATAGATGGGCAGCGGGACCATGCGGGAAACGCTGAGGACCAGTGCCGGCGGCAACACACCGATTAAATTACACACAACGCGATATAATATTGTCGTTTGATTTCCGGTCGACGTGGTGAGCTGTTCTTTTAGTCGTCATCGGAATGTACCCCACGGCAAGGAACTCCTTGCATTGATCGCATGAGTAGGGAAAAGACTCGGGTCGCTTACCAGATGCGGTACAGCAGGATCTGTATTTTGGGTGAGTCGCGACGCCCTGTGTTGTGCTGTGCGATTGTGCGCTCGCACACAGGTGGTCTGGGTGGGGGAGGCCACGGCGACCATTTCCACCAAGATCGACTTTGACAGGGCAGGATCCGAAGAGCCTGTCGTCAAGGGGTGAGGAACGGGCGGGTTGAAGAGGGGAGCTGAACCATTGTTCAATTAACCTGATCCATCGGGACAGGACCGCACGACGGTGACGGGCAGGAGAGGGACGTCGAGGGTAGGGCGGCTGGTGGTTAAGATGTGCCTGGACGCACTTTACCCAGTCAATCAAGAACGCACATGGGCCGCCAGCTGTTTTATTCGGGTGGACTGATCATGTTCTTTCACAGCCTGTATCTCTATGGCTGCAGGTCTGCGTCGGCCGCGTCCGCTACTACGGCGTCGGCGCCGATCCCGTTCACGAAGACGATGTCATACAGCACAGCAGCCGACACCGTTGATGCGATGCGCATCCACGCTGATCGCGAGGCGACGGCGGCAGCGGCGCCTAGCAAGGCCTCCGACAGCGCAACGCGCGCAGATGGTTCCGCAGCGGCACTGGTCTCTGCGGTGACCGGCGCTGCCGTTTCCAGGGCAGCACCGTCGGCGGCGGCGGTGGATTCGGCTTCAGTGGAGGACAGCCCCACTACTGCCAGGAGCTACAGCGAGGCGCGTCCGAGTGCGTGCGGTGTGGCGGTGGCCGCAGCCATCACTGCGAGAGAGGCACCCGGCACAAGTGCCAGTGCAGCCGCTCCGGCGGATAATGCTGGCATTGATGAAGTTGCAGGTGGAAGCCCTTACTTTTCGCCACACCCCTCCTCTGCAGCTGTACCGCATAGCATTAACCATCGCGCCGTGTCATGTGGCGACGAAGCCGCCAAACGTGAAGACTCGCTCGTGGATGCGTCAACAGGCGGCTCAGTAACGATGGCGACAAGAGCTGCTCCTGGTATCACTGCTGGTATATCTGCTGCGCCCGATGGGGCCCGGTGCCCTCGCAAAGGCGGAGGCAGTGGCACCGGCGGATCCTGGGTGAATTTTGTGCCGTTCTTCTCCATCTTGCGCAAGGCGGGCCAGGCCCTCGCGGCCAACATCGCGGGGTCGCTGTCGGGGACGCCGGTGGAGGTGCACCTGCAGGCCACCCGCTTCGAGGGCACCCTGCTGCTGTGGCTGGCACCCCCTCCCAGCGACCGGTGTGTCGGAGAGCCTTGCAGATGCTCAGCTGGGGCGGGTCCAGGAAGGGTCGGGTCGGGGTTGGATCATCTGCATCGCACGCTTGGGGTAATGCTGTCCATTCCCTTACGATTGCTCTGTATGCATGTTAGTTACTTGCTGCATGGCTCTGAGGCTTCTAATCCGTTGGGCCCTAGCCTTCTTGGTGCTGGAATGCCGCTACAAGTAACTCCTCGCCTTGTGTTCAGGTTGTGGCTGAGCTTCGCTGAGCCCCCCAAGATGCTTTTCACGGTGACTCCAGTGCTGGGCAACCGGAAGCTTTCGGGGGGCTTGGTTGTGCGCCGCCTATCCGCCTGGGTCAGGTCCAAGGTGGGTTCGTTCCGTAGGTTTAAATTCCAGGAGAGGATTTTCTTTCAGCTCCTCCACGAGCAGGTTCATATTTGTAGCCGGTCGGCGGCGGCATGCAGCCGATGCCAGCGTCCCGATTCTCCTCTCTTTCATTCAGCCCCTTCCTGATTGCTATCCCTGTTCACTCCCTCCTTCCCTTTTATGCAGGTGACTGCCGGTCTTTCCCGCGCCATGGTTTACCCCGCCTGCGTAGACGTGCGGATGGGCAAGCTGCTGCTGTCCATTGACAGCCCGGGAGACGCAGTCAAGCATTTGATGACGCCACCAGCTCCCCCATCGCGGTCGCCGGTGCCGCCGCAGGCGGCACCACCCACTGCCACCCCCAGCCCGCTGCCTCTGCTACCGCAGCAGCACGTGTCCCAGCACCCCGCCAATGCTGCACCATCCGACATGGCCAGGTCAGTGAAAAGCGCCTATGGCGCGTTGCGAGGATGACGGCTAGCGGACGGTTGCACATGACGATGACCAATCCTGATAATAACCCAGGTCGCCTGTATCGGCACCCTGCCAGCGCCAACCCGTCGCACCTGCCAATTGCTTGTCCTCTGATGTTGTATGTTGTGCGCACAAAGGGAAGCTCTGCCTGCAGTTGCCGCTGCCATGAAGCCACACCTGCCTGTTGAGCGCGCCCTGTGTAAGAGATCTTGATGACCTCTGTCCCGCAGGGCCTCGATGACTTTTCCCTCCTGAAGCTACCCGCTTTACCGTGTCCTGGAATCTCTTACAGGGCCCCGGAGCAGCACGTTCCGGCAGTACCGGTATTGTCGGCAGGAGGCGGCGGCCCGCAGCAGCGGGGCCCGCCAGGTCGCCCTCCCCGTCCCCCGCTGCCGCCTATGGCCACCACGGCCACATCCGGCGTTAGCTCCCCTTTAGCAAGCAGCTTGGTCTTCGGCTCGTGGATGGGAGGGACGGCGGACGCAGACCGAGGCGCCACTGGCGCCACGTTGCCACCGCTGCCGCAGATCGGCGGCGGCACAGCAGCAACTTTCGCTGCTGGCACCTCCACCGCCACCATGTCCTCTTTAAGTAGTAGCAGCCTATTGGAGAACGCGCTCAATCACGTCATCCGGGGGACGTCTTCCATTTGGGGAAGCAGTCCCGGAACGCTGTCCCCGTTGGACGGCGTGTCGGACGACAGTGATCGTGAGGAGGAAGAAGGCGAAGGCGAGCAAGAGGACGGCGAGGGGGAGGAGGAGGAGGAGGAAGCAGCAGATGGTGGTGAGGGCCGGGCAAATCGCCCCTTTCACATCGCTGACGGCATGCAGCGGCCGGGTACGAATTATGGTGACGGCGACAGAGCGGCAAAGAGGCTGCGGTTCGGTAGCGGTGCCAGAGTGGATGGTGGCAGCACTGAATGCGAGGCATGGCACGTGCGCGGCGAGGGCTGGGCGCGTTTACGAGGTAGCGGCAGTGTTGGCAAAGGCATGGACGGCATGTCGCAGCAGCATCTGCAGCACAGACGCCCTCGGGGATCCCTGGGCTCAGTTTCGTCGTCCTCAATCGCGGCGGCGCAGCTGCAGCAGGAGCAACTGCAAGTGCCGCAGGGGCAGCCAGGCAGGCGCAGAAACGGCGGGCCATTTCAATGGATGCGCGGCGCCGCGGGACTGGTTGCGCGCGGAGTTGGTGGCCTGGGTAACGCGGGCAAGCGGGGGCTGGGCGCGGTGGGGTCGGCATTAGGGCAGGCGATGCTGGGGCCGGTTGTCCACGCGGGGGAGAGGGCAATAGTGCACCAGCACTTGCAAGCAGCCAGGGCAGTTCCCGTGCAGCTAGAGGTTGCTGTGGCGGAGTCTCAGGCACCGAGGGTTGTTCGTCAACATGACCTGGGAACAACAGGCGCCGGGAAGCACTTAACGGATATGTAAGCCTGATAGGTTGTGTTTTTGGTGTGGTGTGCGGCTCGGAGAAAACCGGTTTTAAGCGTTGATGGAATTGCAATTGCACAGACTTGTAGCATGTGCATATTTATGCTAGCAGGCAGGAAATTGGTGAAAGTTGCAGATTTTTGTTGTTGACATCACGCGCTCGCGAATTGAATTGTCCGGCGGATCCACATCTGTGCGGAGGGCGGGCTCACTGTGCTTTAATCATAAACCCTTTATTTTCATGATGATAACATATAGGTAAACACTGTATTTATGTTTTAAGACGTTGAAACGTATGAGACATGGACATTAAACAGCTGGCACGTTCATTAGGTATAACGCAGCAGCCTGCTATTGGCAGAGCGGCTGAACTTCTTCGGCTTTTAAAATTAAAGGTTCCCGGTAGCCTTGGCCAGGTTGGTACATCGGTTGCTCGGAAACCCTGTTGCGAGTTGGGTTGAGGTCGATTGCCGTTACCGTATCATGCAGGGCGAGATCTGCAGACCTGCAGTTTGCCTTGAGCTAGCATGCCAAACGTGAGATATCTCGGTGATGTGCGTAGTTCTGGCTGGGCCAGTTGCCGCCGCAGCATCTTAACGTGGTCTGTGCTCTGTCCGCAGTACCCCTGGGTGTAAGCTTCCTGTAAGGGAGGAGTTCATTCGTTACAGTTGCTCCGCGCCAAAGGTATATAATGAAATGTTTACGCGGATACAACGGCTTCTTGACGTCAGACCGGCGTTAGACCTCAGGGAGCTGGTCACGCTGTTCGGGTAAGGCGTTACCTGGGGGAGTCCTCTCCCATGCAGCCTTTGTATTGTTTCGCCCAGGCAAGCTTGTGCTGCTTGCGGATGTTAGCCGCAGTCGTTACCTTCAAAACCGTGATGAAACCTAGTCCACCTGTGCCTGGCATCCCCATCGTTGCTCTGCCCTCTTCCCGCTGGTTGGCGGCAACCTTGTAAGCCTCCATGCGCTGCTCTTCCTTGACCTGACCTGACAGGTGCTCGCAGCTTCACGATAGCACTCAGCAGCTGCTGCGCATGTACAAGAACCGCGTCTTGGAGTCTCTCAGTGACGCAGAACGCGCCCGGGCAGATCTCAGCCGGCCCGCTCTCCTTGCCGCTGCTTTCCTTCATACTGCAAAGAAACACCGCGCTCGGGTCGACCGTGCTGCGCTGATTAATAAAATGGGGCTTACGAGAGCGGAGCTGGCAACGGCACTGGGGGATTTCATTTCGCGCTGCGGGGACCAGATGGCTTCAGCGGCGTCGCGGAAGCGGGACCGAAATGACGAGTAAGAATATGTGCGTGGTGTGTATGGTGCGGGCACAAAGTTGAACCCTGCAGTGCTCGCTGACACCCAATCTCACACATCGCAACCCGCATAGACAACGGCTGTAGGGGAAGCAACGGTATACATCAGCTTGGAATCCTGCATATTGGCGGTCCCGGGCTTCCTCTCTGACAAAAGTGTGGTTCTCAACTCGTTAAGCCTGCCCTCGATGTATTCGGTTGCAGGAGTAAGGAACCAGCTGCTGGCGAGGTTGATGAGCAGTCGGTGCCGGGACCAACTGCCGGTGGGAAATGCAGCCCAAACGAAGGGCCCAAGCGGAGACGACGCACCGTGGCACGTAACGCGGATGATGATGAAGACGGGCAGGTGCCTGGCAGCGACACTGCAGTGAGTACCTAGGACGTGTGGAATATTGGGTGCCAAACCCTAAGATGTCCAAACATGGTGCTATGGCTCTTGCATCTGGCATTTCCGATAGTGAGGAGGTGTAAGAGTACTGTCAACATGCTGCCTGCGCACCGGTGCCACCTGGATGCATGTCTACGTTCTCGGCTATCTTCGCGAACAAATGCGATGCAATTATGTTTGCGACGCACACAGATTTCGACATTACTGATGTGTCTGGGAGATGACCTTCCCTTCCCATCCAGTGCAAGCAGTCCTCCGCACGAAAAAATTTTGCAATAAAGAGCACACCTTTCCCTGGCCCCAGGCCGTCGCGGTGGACGACTTCAAGCTGGTGCTCATAGGCTTGGGTTCGTCAGCGGCTCGCAGCGCGGGAGATGGTCCTGTCGACTGCCAGCCGGTCGAGAGCAGTCGGAGGCTGGTGCGTCGGCAGAAGGCCCGCGCTGTCAAGGATTTTGGATTGGAAGCGGCGGACATCGGGGACACGTCTCAAGTTGAATGAGAGCAATGAGCTGTAGCGATAGGCGCGCTGGCGTGGAAGCAGCGGCGATGACATATAGCGACGCTGAAGTATGAGCGTACTCAGTATGGGCGGGCAAGGCTCCTGTCCAGGGCCGCGCTGAGATACCGCGGAATCTGGGCTTTCTGGCATGCTTGTGTGAGGCTATGCCTAAGGGAGGCCGCCCTTCTTTTAGACTCGATCCGAGCGAGATGTATGTACATGTAGATTAGCAAACGCGAATGCGTAGCAATGCATACGCCCTGAACCCAACAGACGATTTTTAAGTTGAGGCACATGACCAGAGAGCTGTTAGCGGTGACGTAGCGTTGTGATGCATCTGGGTTAAGCTGGACCGTGTGTGAAGTACACCGGGATCTGGGAGTGCCGAACAAGGTGACTGCACACCAGGGATTTCCGGCCAAGTTGGCAGCACGCCATGGTGTATATCATGCTCCGCAATAAAGTTTTCATGGTTAACCTGTTCCGCGCCCCTATCATGCAGTTGTAACTGTACGACATACCCCTGCGCCATATAGCCACACAGCGCTATGTACAGTATCCCCTCACAGCCAAACAATAAAAGTCCTAGATATGTATTCCCCGACGTTGCAAACTCTGTTGGTTTGGCAAAAGAGTTTTCACTGCCTCCATGACTACGTCAGTACAATTACGCCCCATGTGCCATTGGTACTTGCCGCGATATTGTTTTGGACGGATATGTACAATTCTGAATAATACAAGTGGACACCGTACCGTGCGGATCAAGGACACGCAGACGAGCCGACACCTCGTTTCGAGTACTCTAGTAATTTATATGGCAGCATAATAACAAGGGGAACGACAACCGCCCTAACAAGGCCCGCGACAAGGGCCCTACTTGCCGCATGGCGCCATGATGTTATGGGTTAAGGCAGGTAAACGAAGGGGGTACTTACGGGTCACCGATCAGGATCAAGGCGAATGCTCCCCAATAGAAACGTTACCGCTCCTTCGCTATCCTCTATCCCTTTCTCATCCGCCTCCTGCATCTGTACAAAAGCACATGCTGCTTCAGGTGCGTTTTAAGCACCGATCTAACCAAGTTACCGCACGTGTAAGGAATGCCACCCCTTATTTCTAAGGCCGCCCTCGTGCTGCTCATAGAATGGGGTCGTGGCCATTCCAGTTGACCTTGACCCCCGGCCAACGCGTCTCGATGACGCATTCAAGCGGCGGGATATTCTGCCCCTCGCACTTGCCGCGGTCACCAAAGCTGGAGCCCACACGCGCGGTCCAGCCGCCCCGAGGATCCTTTGCTACCGACAGCTTGATGATGCTTTCCTGCAAAATCGAGTACGGCCATGGGAATGTCGACCCTCAGGAAGTCGTTGCCATGTAGCATCCAGCTACCAGGCCTCGTCCAGCAACACCCACCCTGACCCACAGCGTTACAGTACGCCTCCGATAAGCGCCCGAAACGTGGCGCCTCTGATGAAGGCCTGCCCCAAGTTGTTCACCCTGCGCAACCCAGTTCACTCGCTCCCCAGAGCAAGGCCGCGCACTCACTGACCTGGTTGGCCAGCTCGTCGTAGAAGTACAGGTCGAAGGGCAGCTGGTTCTGGAGCGGCCTGTAGTCCTGGGCGAACAGCACCGTGAAGTGGCTTTCCGAGCAAATGACCCACACGGGCAGCGAGGGGTTCTTCAGGGAGGGACCCACCTCCACGTACCTGAGGAGCAGATAACGGGTGCAACATCCAGAATAGGTGAGCAGGTCAGGGAGGACGCGTATGTCAGCTGGCGCAAGGAAGCAGACAAGCAATGAAAACACACCGCAGTTGGTCCCTTGTTGCCGTCCCTCGCCCGTTTGACAACTTATGGGACGACCGACCAAACTATTGGAACCTAGCGCAAGGGCCATGTTGAGTCCCAGCTCCACCTCCATACTGATGTTCCCCGTTCGCTGTTCCGCGTCTGGCTTCGCGCCTAGTTCGATGTTTCTGAATCTTCTCTGCGCTGCGCACTAAATCCCTCCCCTATCCCCGCATGCCTGCAGCTACCCGGCGCTATGCTTACTTGTACCATTCGAACAGCGTCAGCAGACCCACACGGCAGCGCCTGCTGATACCCTTGAGCACCGTGGCACCGTCCAGGTGCTTGTTGCCGTCGAAGACGTTTGAGTTGGCAACGCCTGGGTTGGGAGGGCATAGCGGGAAGAATGTCAACCACTAAACAGCGAGGGCAAACGCATGGCAGGGTAATGGAATGGGGAGGGCGACAGGGTAGGTAGGAAAGGGCCGGACCCCGATGTAAAGCATCAACTTGCAGATGCCAATATAGCCACTAAAACCACACAGCCCTGACATGTGTTTCAAGAACGAATCTGGCTTGTGTAATAATGCTGTCGTCGGGGCATCTGACAGGCACCACCCGCATTCGGACCGGATATCGGGCTTCACCGAATATCGCACACTCGTGAACAGGACACCAGCTCACCAGAACCCTCACACGGCTCACCCAAGATGATCATATTGACGAGCTCTTGGGTGCAGTAGCCGTGCATGCCCATCAGGCTGTTGCTGGGCTCGTCCATGTCCGCCTGTAGGGGGGTTACAAGTAGAGACAGGGGAACAGCCGACGAAACGAAACGAATGAGGCGATGTGTTAAAGAGTAGAGCAAAACCCCGAGGCTAACCGCGCCAAGCAAGGAAGCACACCGCATCGAGCACACCACTTTACGGGTTGTACATTTTTAAAGTGTGCGTTTACAGCAGGGCCGTACGGCTTAAGGCAAACCCTACACAAGAGCATGGCGCGCTGCGACATTGTCCACTCACCCTGACATTGTCCACTCCACGGCTGAGCGCCAAGCTCATGACGAACAGCACCACACCCCAGCCGTCCTCCGACATCAGCACCGACAAGGAGCCCCGAACCAGGTCCTGCGTGCCGCGTGCACGGGCACATGTGGCTGATATCAAGGCACAAGGACGTCACTGGGGCACCCCAATGTGCATATGCATGTGCGGTCCGGGTCCTAGGCTAGGCCACGCCAGGCAGTTTCCTGCACGCTTGTGCGAGCCACATCAGGCTGCTCCCGACTGGGCCCGGTCGTAAACTACCGGTTCATGTCCACCAGCACCTCGGGGCGTCTCGACGCCTAGACTGTGGCATCTTCACCTAAGTACCCCACTCAGCACGAGCTCCAAACCCAGCTCCCATCCCCTTTCCTCTGCCATCCCCAACGCACGGCAACCCCTCACCAGCAGGGCCTCCTTGCTGGCAGCCGTATGCTGCGCCACCGCCCGGCTGAGCTGCTCGTAGCCCAGACGGCCAGCCGCGCCGCCCGCCTCACCCTCCGGAAGCACTAGCGCCGCGGTGGGGCCCATGCGCGCCTGCCAAAGCGACTCGGTGATGGCGGACGCCAGGGCGGACTGCTGCTCGGGGGCACGAGGAGATGTGTTGAAGCCGGTGGCCTGCGCATGGAGCAGAGGGAGGGGGGGAGATGCGGTTTAGGCATGCAACACGCCTTGCGGTCAACCTACCATACTACTCGCATAGTCCCCGTCCCGCTGTCGCCAATCTCGCACAGCAACCCACCGGCGAGTGCAGCGCCGCCAGTATTAGCGCCTGCATGCCCGCCAGCACGCCGCACGGCCCACCCTGCTTCTGCTGCAGTCCGAACTGCAGACCGGGGTTGCGATTGAAGAAGAAGCCCTGCTTCCACGAGGGCGGCGGCTGTCCCTGAGCACCCCACAGCAGCTGCTTCATCTTTCGCATCACTTCCGGCGAGATGGCGGCCCCCTGGGAAGGGAAGACCAGTTTTGGAGAGACCGCCAGAGCAAGATGAGGCAGGCCGTCAGCAACAGGATGTCAAAAGCTCAGCGCACGGCCGGAAATTTCCTAAGCTACTCCAGTTTCTTTTTGCTCATGCCATAGCGTTTCATGTCCACTTTGTGCAAGCTGGGCATATGTGTGTGTTACGCCGTCAGGAGTTGCATTACCCTCCAAAGGTTTAACGAGCCCATATGAGCCTTCAGAGGGCCGAAGGCTTTCCAAAATGGATAAAACGAACGCAAAAGATAAACCATTATCCTCTTGACTCACCGGCTTCCTCGTGGCAGGACCCGAAATCCGCATCGTTGCCATGCCCGCCGTCGCGGACCCAGCGATGCCGTCGTCCGCGTCATCAAAGTTGACGTCCCCCACGTCCTCCATCACCATCTCGCCACCGTACCGTGAGGTGCCCGCCCCCGGCCTGGCCCCACCAGGCGGCCGGTTTGCCAGCGACGCTCGTGGCGGCGTGAAGGATCCGCTGCCAGGGGCGCTGACCGCGGGTCCCAGGCCCGACGCGGAGGTGCGTAGAGGCACATTGGAGGCAGATGCAGAGTGGTGCATGGGCCCGGGTTGCAATGCGCGCATGGCAGGGCCAGCAGATCCACGGGCCGTTCCCGGGTTTATAATCTCCGGTTCCTCGTCCGAGTCATCACGGTAGCTGCAGATTGCGGGCCCGGTAAGGAGGAACAAGCCGAGGGAACGATGCCCGACGTCGTGAGTGCGAGGGCGTGCTTTCCAAAGAGGCTAAGACAATGTGCGACCCGACTGTAATCTGAGTTGACGCCCACACGCCCGCGCCACCGCAGATCAACATTAGGCATCCCCTCCCTTCTCGTCTCGCTTCCCCACCTGGTGCTGCTGCCTCGCCGGGCGGCGGGAACGGGCGGCGCAGGCCGGGCGGCCGCGGTTTCTCCGAACCCAAAACCCTGCCGTACTGGAGCCGGTCGGCCTGCCCCCCCTGCAAATTTGCGCGCAGACATAAATAAAGGTAAAGCTGCTGCAAGCAGCGCAGCTGGGAACATGGTCAACGGATGTATAGGCAGATCCGAGCAGAGCGCTACGTGGCCCATTCACAGCAAGAGCGGGGAGGCCTAAGCTGCACAGATCCAAATCCCCTAAAGCGCGCCGCGTGCACCGTTGCCCGATCCCGCCTTCCTGCCCCACCACTCCGTCTCCCTCCTGTCCACCGCGGCAGACATACAGTGTCCGGCGTAAAGTGCAGCAGGCGGCGACAGGCGCAAGAGGAGCAGGAAGAAGGCAAATTGGACCACACGCGAAGGGGGGCAGGGAGGCAGCTAAAAGTACGTGGGTTCTACGTAACGGGCTCTGCACAGGCCGCACGCGACAGAAAGTCTCCAGCTCCTTCCCTCCCAAGTATCAACACTAAAGTCTTGTTTCACCGGTGCAGGATATGCGAGTTGCCGGGGTAATGTGGTGCAGTCAGCTGACGTGGTGCAGTGCACACCCACCCAGTCGCCCGCCAGCTACTGCCAGCGGAAAGACTGGGGCCGTCGATGCAGGATGCTGATGGTGCTAGCTAGGATGCCACGGGCATTGGGTTACATAGCCGAGCTAAGGGATTAGCGGTGCGGTGCGGGGCCAGGATTATGGTGCTTATGGCGGAAGGTCCACAAGCGCATGAAGGGACCTTGCTCATGCTCACTCCACAGAGAAATAAGATTGACGAGCATCTTTCCCGTTAACAGAACGGCAAACGCAGCAGCACAATGCGGTCGTGCCACACCAGTTCCCGTCACATCACGGACTGCGACAGCGTGCAACTGCTTTGCCACCGCATACCGGTGCATATTGTTACAGAAACACGTCCCACTGAGCAGTTATCCTGACGGTGCAACGGCAGCTATACAGCGGGTTCGGAGGTACTTAATCAGCGCGCGCCTAAAAAGAAGGTATAGCCCTTGGTATAGGCGCTAACGAAGGGGAAGGTCTACGGTACCATTCAAGAGCTAGGCAAGGTGGTCCCAACACGCATGCGAGAACCCACCCCGCCGTGGAGCTCGCCATTTCCTCAGCAGCATAGCCCCGGGCTCTATTCCGGTCAGCTCTGTGCGCCCCTGAATGCTACTCATTGATTCAAATACGAGCAAGGATCCCGCGGCACCGGAACCCATTCCAGTATCATTCATTTCCCCCAGCATCCCACACTATGCCACTCCACTCGCCTCCCCCCCCATGCCACTCCGCACTGCTCTCTCCACCCACTCACACACGCACACACACCTTCGTGCGAGGACGACGCCGTCGCCTCCCACCGAGGGCCGCGCAGGTCAGGCTCGGTGGCGGCGGTGGTGGTGGTGGCGGCAGAGGAGGTGGGAGTGACAGTGGTGGCGGTAGAAGTCGAGGTCGAGGGAGTGGCCATGGAAGGAATGGAATAGGAGTGGGAGCAGGACGCGGCGGGACTGGCAACAGAAGAGGTAGCTGTATAGGCCGCGCATGCTTTACTAGGCGAGGAGCTGAAGCTGGGGGGGTTGCTGCTTCTAGGAGATGCCGCTTCGGGTGCATGGGCGTGCACGTGTGCTGCTGCGGCCATGACGTGCGCATGCGGGTGGAGTGGCTGTGCTTGCATTTGCTGCTGTGCCTGCATGTGCTGCTGCTGATGGCGGTGCAGATGGGGTAACACGTTCATGCGTGAGGAGGGCCTGTGCTTGGTTGCGCCGCGCACGGGCGGTAGGTGCGTGAGCCCTTGGGACTGCGGTGATTGGCTGGGGGCTGCAGCAGGGCCAGCGCGTGTTTGCGGCATGGGTGCGAGACGCGGCATGATCGACGGCGGGCGCGCGAGTGACCGCCGAGACCGGCTGGCCGTTGGGGTTTCAGGCGGACGCCCCGATGCACCCTGCAATGATTGCGCGGGCGACGCCGCCGACACTTTTAGGGCCAGACTCTTTCTGGACCTGGATTTTCCCGACACGCTCTTGCGCAGCACGTCCACCATTCCCCTTCGACGCCACGCAGGCACAGCACCTTGAGGGCTTGCGGAGGTAGAGACGGCTGCCGGGCTGGGAATGGCGCCGCTGCCTGAGGCAGGTCTGCGTTTGCCAGGGACAGTTGCAGATCACTGATTAGCATGCGGTACGTCACACGCACGGCCTGTCTTTACAGCAAGCACTACGGCTTCAGATGGCCTTACGTAGCACGTACCTGCGTGGGGGACCTGAAGAGGCCACCGGCACGGACACCTCCTCAGGCTCTGTAACCGCCCGGGGTATGGGCCGGGCTGGAGCTGGCGCTAGGCGTTGGGCCTGTGATTCCTTGTAGATGGGCAGCATAATACACAGGATTTTCGTAAGATTCAACAACCAAGGGACCAACAACACCGGGTTCAACGCAGTGACGCATTTATTGGGTTTAAGGACGAACCTGATAAGGTCCGTTGCTTCCGGTGATCGGGATGATGTAATTAGCAAAAGCAAGCCAGAACGACTGGGGACAGGTGTCAATGTTGGTGGCGGGAACGGCTGACTGTTGAAACAACTGGGTATACGACGTATGTCAAGCGATTGATGCCTTAGGGAGGGGTATTGATGCCTTGGGGACTAAAGAAGTGGCTAAGACCGAACCCAGATGGGACGCGGAACGCAAAGGAAGCGGAAACGACCAGATGTGCAGGTTTTTAGCCGTAGGGAACCCGGCTATGAGCAGCTGGCTGGCCGCCACGTGCTCCGTAGCCACGAGCAAAGGACGAGTTTCAAGCTCTCCTGACTTCCATACAAACGTAATCTGACCTGTAGTTGTATTGGTCCAGCGGCTTCTGGCGTGGCGCTCAGCTTGGCCATCTGATGTATAACCCAAACTTCAAGCGTAGATGGAAGGCCGTCCGCTGCGGGATTCTGCTTCTTGTAGTATGCAGTCGCCTTCTCGAGGCCCAAGGACTTTCGCAATATCTCCCGCTTGGTGATGCTGTTGGCGTGCTTCGGCTGCACGCACATGTGCCATGGTCGTGTTCGTTAGTCTAATGTTAGTCGGAAGCTGGGCCGTGGCGCTCCCACGCAAAACATGGATTAGCTTTTGCCCTGAAAGGTCTGATCCCCAACAAAGTATAAAATAGGGACGGACCTTCTCCCGATTGAAGGCTTCAAGGGAGGCAGTGCAGCCAGCTCGCACGAGATACTCTCGCACAAGTGCCTCAACAACGTCGTTGGACTGGTAACTCATTCGATCCGCAAATGGGTCATTCGACGAAGCTTTCCAGGACCTAACTGGCTGAGCCTCGCCTTTATTCCTTGTACTAAGTTGCGTATCAAACCACCTCCTTAACAAGCTTAAATTTTCTTTGCATTTTGTTGTCCTTCACCGACCATGTTGGTACGGGATTGTTTAGACTTCCGCATTCCATGGAGGTTCGCATGATGCAACACTTCAACATCCTATGTTTTCGTCCTTTTGCTGATATTTCTCGTGGGTTTGTAATAGATTGGTGCTCAGGGATTTGAATTTAGGCGTCCATACGGTATTGACAGTAGTCGCATACTTCAAAATTGGGCAGCTTGTAATTTAGTTTAGCTTTCGGGAGTTAGTTCGTTAAGCAGAAATGCTTGCTGTCAGGCCGATCGGCCTCTGCTGCGTCGCCGGTGAGGCTCCCAAACTGGTTGCAAAGCTTAGCCGCAGGCTATGCAAGCATTTGCGTCACTACAAAAGGCACGCCCCGCAATCCACACTCAGGGCGCCATGAGGATACCCGGCCAGCCGGCAGGGGGCATATTTCCAACCTCAAGGCCTCTCGAAAGCTCATCCATTCGGGGCCCAAACCTGACCGTGCGGCTGTCATTTCACGAGTCATGACCAGCACATCAACGAACCCAGCTTTCACTTTTGGCAAGGTGGACGACGCCATAGCTGAGTCAGGACGCGGCGGGCCACCCATGACAGTGGACGGGGCCGTCCAGAAGACGGGTTTACTGCTGGTGGTGGCAGTGGCCTCGGCCATGGCTACCTGGGTGCAGGTGCGTCAGCAGCCAAAGGCCAACGTAAGCCCTGCGCAAGCCTGGGCATGAGCTCTGTACGCGCATTACATGTTTATCGGTCCTGGCCCTGTCCACCCTCGTCGCGACCCAGATGCCGCAAACAGCTTCCCACCTACAAACCCTACAAGTAGCGGCTGTGAAAGGCGTTATCAGTAAAATGCACCCCCTGCCCTGCCCCTGTCCTAAACTGCTCTGCCAGATCGCCTCAGGCAATGCATCTGTCATGCTTGCAGCAAGCAAAGGCGCGGGCGTCGTGGCGCTGCTGTCGGCCATGGTCACTATGTTTAAGCCGCAATGGGCTATGGGCACCTCTCTGGTCTTCTCGGCAGCCCAAGGAGTCGCCATGGCAGGGTTTTCCGTTATGTTGGAGGTGTGCTGCGAACCGCTAAAGGCCGGAACACGAACTTTGGGGGGGGGGGAAAGAGCCCAGCCCGGGGGGCAGCATGAAAGCCGGGGTCTGGGATGCCAGGGGCGCTGGCAGTGGGAAATACGGGGCGGATTATTGCATTACCAAGTGGCGGCGCACTGAGGCTTTACAGCAGGCCCTTGGTTACGTGTGAGGCCCCGGAGGCACGGCGTCGCGGACCAGCTGGCCCACGACCACAAAGGATCATGTGGGCCCGGCAAGGAAGTAACGCACCGGGGCGCAGAGTGCCAGGCGGCTGGGGGACGTTGGCATGTGCAGATCACTGCCTGCGGCGGTCCTCAGGCGGCGTTGTGGGGAACCGTCGTGAACTTACTTTTGACAGGCTAATGGTTCTTGATGTGTGCTCGCGCTTGCCGCTCACAGATGATGTACCCCGGCATCGTACTGAATGCGCTGATGTTGACTTTCGGCACGGCCGCATCATTGCTCGTGGCCTTCCAGGTTAGGGCCCTGTGAACGGGTTGGGGACTGGGGCCGCAAAAGTAACTGCGAATGCAACTTGGGCCGAGAAGCGGACTGTAAACGGAGCTGGGACTGCGGTTTGGGCTCCGGCCAGTTCTGGGATCGGGATGGACCCCATGTAGCCCGACAACTCTCTTGGAATGAGCACTCGACAGGACCGACCTCCATGAGTAACGTACAATATCCTTAGTGGGGTCGCATTCGTGTTAGCTGAGAGTTTAGCAAACTGTTTTGCATGGGCACCTTGCAACTGCCACCCGTGCCCTTCTGGACCTGCTCACCACGCTTGTCCGTCGGTAACCCTTGCTCCTTCGCGCCAGTCTCCCGCAACACACCGCACAAACGCGTGCTTACAAGACTGTGTCCCTCAGGGGCATCGTAAACGCATTTCCATGCAGCATGCAGCTGACTTCCCATGGCCCTTCCCGCGATCCCGTGACCCGTTTATCTATACCCTGCAGTCTCGTCTTATCCGCGTCACGGACAAGTTCCGCGATGGTGTGTTGATGGTGACTGGTGGCTACTTCGTGATGATGTTGCTGACCTGGGTCATGACGCTCTTCGGCGTGCGGCTGCCTAGCATGCTATCCGGGGGCCCGCTGGGCATCGGCCTGGGCCTCGTTGCGGCCAGCTTGGCAGCGGCCAACCTGCTGCTTGACTTCGACATGATTAAATCGGCGGCGCGTGCACGAATGCCCAAGTGGTGCGTCTTTGGCGTTGATTTTCCCAGCGGATGGGAATCAAACACAGCATTTCGCTAATTGGGCGGGGTAGGCGTTTCACATGGAGGAAAAGGCACTTCTGAGCAGAGCCCGTTGTTTGGAACTTGCGACGTTCTGCAACTGAAGGAGCATTTGGTTTGTCTTGTGCAGATGTCCTCTCCCCTTCGCCACCTGCTAAGGCAAAGCTTGATGGCCGTTTGGACTAGAGATGCTACCGTTATGCTAACGCGCGCTCTTGCACACGCCATCGCCCGCTGTTGATCTATTACAGGTTTGAATGGTACTCGGGTTTCTCGCTCATGATGACCCTGGTGTGGATGTACACGGAGGTGCTTCGGCTCCTCACCATGTTCGCCAGGGGCGACCGCGACGATTGAAGGCCGGCAGAACGGGGCATCTGTACTGCGTCGACCGCTGCGCTTGTACTTGTGTAGTCCTTACGCTCCAGCCGACAGGCCGGTATGCGCAGTAGGCAGTGGGTATTTCTTATGACCAGGTTGGTATGACCGAAGAGGTGGCAGGTGGCACCATGTGTGTGTGTTCCCAGGTGGGCGCCTTGCTGCCGTACATGAATGAACCCTTCCATGACGCGATGTGAGGGACCTACGGGAGATGGCACTGGTTGACGGATGGTAGAGTCAGGGGGGCTAGACTTAGGCACTAAATGGAGATTTAATTCATTTCGTGTTTGTGTAGGGGCTGTCGCACTGGCATTGGCTGAGAGCATGAAAACTTTGATTACTGCTTGCTTACGAGAGGAGGGAAAAGAGACGATGAAGAGGGCGAGGGAGCGAGAGGAAGAATGTTTGGCCAAGTAGGGTCTCAACATGGGCCATGAATGGTACGGGCACGCTGGGCCACTTGAAGCGGGACTAGAATACCGGGCTCCTTTCCACACGGTTTTGCGGACAGTCCGTGCAAGTGGCACACGCGACACAATAATTATTTTTTATGTATAGTAACGCTTTGCTAGGAACGTCCTATCGCCACTCCCTGACTGTCGTGCTACTGTGCCCAAATAAAGTTTTACTTGCGGCAGGGGCACGTGACCCAAAATAGCAGTCGTCCTTACGATCGATGACGCCCCCAGCAGCCCACATGAATTCAAACCAATCTATTCGGTGAGCTAACCTTGCACCCTGACCGAAAAAAACTCGTACACCGGGCAAGGAGAGGTGCAACCGCAGGAGGTACGCGTACAGCCGGTGGCTGCGGCAAAAGGATAACATGCTTAATCGGCAGTTTCTGAGTCCATCACCGAAGAGACCTTAGCCTGAACCTTGCAGTTGCCCTTTGACAGCGGCCTCTAAGCGGCCCTCGAGCCACATTCACGACAACGGCGGAAGACAACGGCAAAAATGGCACATAAACAATAACTGCCTTAACCACCGCCATGCCATACCGAAAAGCATACCGTGCTGTAAACGCATGGCCTGGACAACACGATCCGCATTTGGGCGGTAGGAATTGCTGCGCGGAGAAATTTACTAGTACGTTCCCATTATGTCCCGAGGGAACAGGGAACTCATGAGCAGCTACGTTCTCCATCGCTGCTAAAGCGTCAGCACAAGCCATCTTACGAGCAGCACGCGTCGCCACGCTGTTACACAGAAACCCAAATTCTGCGGAACAAGGGTCTTGGCGCCCGCGAGCCATGCGCTAATACGCAACAGCAACACGCAAAGCCCCCGCGCAACAAAGTATGGGCGCCCATTGACGCCAATGTCGACATCATCACGTTTTCCATCGCGACCCATATGCTGCACCGCGCGCGCAAGAATTCATGGGCCCTGATTCCCAACGCACCGCACCGCACCGAGGTATAACCTCCCCGGCCGTAAGCGCACGCACCTAAGTGCCAGCCTTCTACGGCCCCCACAACAAGCCCAAATTAAAGCGCACACACGCACCGCGTTAATCCATGATATTCATACAACCCATGTCCACATTAGGCGAGACAATCAGCAGGCCCGCAGCCCGCCAATACAGCAATCTGGGAATCCTACGGAACTCGAACAACAATCGCCTCCTTCTGCGTGCTGCATGCATTTGCAATTTTATACCATGCCTCTCTAAATCGAATCGAACCAAATCACACCCACAGCTAAAGAACAGAAAAAGAGAGAGGGAGAGAGCAGGCGGTTGAAAGAGCGGAGAGACAAGGACAGACGGCGGCCCACCTGGCATGAGAGTCATTGCATTCATGAGCAGTGCTTTAACCCGCATTTCCAGGGCGCCGTACAAGGGGCCCATACGACGCGAAAACGATGTGCGACCACTCTCAGGCCCGGAACAAACAGAACAATCGTACAAGTGTGTCTCAGTGGTAATCCGCCGTTCTGCTGGCCTCTTCGAGCCCCACACACACCCCTTCGCATCCCATGCTAGGGGTATTGCATGCAGCTACAGCGGACAACTGGTTACGGAACCAAATGCATCAACAAGGTATGGCATTCAGCCTGCCAAAGCAACGCGCCTGGCGGCTTAGGCTTGACTTCCCGCGTATTTTCTTCACTCCCAGAATCACCCCAAATGAAGACTGTCGCTACTAGAGCGGGTACAGCACAGGCTGACGTTCCGCAAAGCAAGAAGGTGGCGCTAATGTGCAGCAGCCAAGCAAAGGGCCCAACAAGAAACGAGCACTTGAACACCATCCTTACATGCCATTGGGCTGTCCGGCTGCCTCCTAGCAGCCCTTCCCAGGGCGCGCATCAGCCAGATCGGCATTAAGGGCTGGGTACGTGTGCTGCACCCTTAACAGCCTTGGCTGTGGCTGTGGCCGTGGCCGCGGCTGCAGCCCTCAGATTTAAGCAAGCAAAAGCATACAACCCCTTAACACCATCCCCCACAGGAATGCAGCCACCATGCGCTGCCGTACACCGACGCCGGCCACATCCGTCGCAACATCTCAGTCCCTTCCTCTACCCGCGTCCCATCCACATTCCACACCAACTTCAACCAATAGTAACCGCGCAAAAAAAGTGATCGCACAGGTAAGGAATTAGGATAACCCTCCCAGCTAGCGCTAGCACCTTCCTTTTAGGCACTTATACCACATAGTCCCGCGCCCGTGCTGCCCCAGAGCAGCTCATTAGTACCAGATATTCCTGATCATCTTTGAGATCCCTCCGGTACGCAGGAGCTTGTTAGCATTCAGAATCTGAATCAGACGAGCTGGAGACCTGCTCACTGCCGTAGCTCGCCGCCACAATCAGTGCCTTGCCCCGCCGGCGTGCCGCTATTCCCGGAACCGCTTTGGGCCCGGCAGCGGCAGCCGCCGACAGTGACCCCACCGACGCAGCGGCTGCTTGCTGCCGCTGCTGCTGTGCGCGGAATGCAGCAATTTCCTCCTCCGTCAGGCCCGTGTCCTCACCATCCCCATCCTCTTCGTCGAATCCCGTCCATCCCAGCGACCGCAGGAAGGCCTCCTCTTCCTCCGAAACATGCAGCGCCGGATGCGGTGCGCTGGAAGCCCGCTGGGGAAGCACCCCTACCGGCTGCGTCTGCTGTGGCAGAGACAACTGCGCGGGCATCGTGTTCGCGGTCACCGGTAGCTCACCCAGCTCGTCAGCCGCCGCGGCCACCACCACCGCTGCGGCTGGCAGCGGCGGCTCCTTCAACGTGTTGCTGCCTTCATCGGCGGTGTCGAGACCCGTACATGGAGCGCATGGCACCGCGCCACCGATGATCCCGTTACCGAGGCTGCTACCACATGCCCCTGTACTCGGCACCACGGCCACACCTGCCGAGGCCTGCGCCAGCGCCGGGTTGGGTGACGACGACGACGACGACGACGTACGCGCCAGGGCCAGCGGTCGGTCCAGCGGCTGAGAGGCCTTCTTGGAGAACATCACTGTGTTGCTTGACCCGAGCACCCGGGCCCCGGGCCCGGAGGTACCTGGCCCCGGCACCGCGTCGTCCCGCTTCACCGTCGACATCTTTAGGAGGGCCCCCGTTGGCACAATAGGCGGGGGCTTCGGAGCGCCTCCTGGTGCCCGTGGCCCCGTCCCACCCAGCCCGCCCACCGGGGTTCCCCCAGCCGCCACGCCCAAGCCGCCAACAGCCTTGGACTTCCCCGACCCAGAACTAATGACCGGTATGAGCTGCTTCGATTGCCGCATAGCCAGGTTGTCCAGCCGCGTCCGGTTAACAACAGGCGCCCCGGCACCGGCAATGCTCCCATGGCCAGAGTCAGCCGCCGCCGCCACGGCCGCCGCTGAAGATGTCGTACCCCAGACCCCGGAGGGCCGCGGCGGCACTACCGGCACCGGCACAGGCGCCGCCGGCGCGGGTGCAGGCGCTGGCGCCGCCGTGCTGCCAGCTGTCAACCCCACAGTTGCCGGCGCCAGAGGAGGCGGCGATGCCGACTGCGTGCAAGCCACAGCTTCCGGCGTTAGAGCATCATCCTCTGTGAGAACGATGACAGGTACTGGCTGGGCTGGACTGGGCCCGGCGCTGGGTGCAGCGGGCGCCTCCGCCAGCTTTGATGTCCAGTTGGAGCTGGTACGGGACGACAGAAATGTCTTGCGGTAGGGAGGCAGTGTGGCAGGGGAGTTGGCAGTGTCCAAGAGAGATGACGCGGTTGCTGTGGCGGCGGCAGCGGCGGCGCCGGTGCCACTCGTTAATGGCGCTGACGTCGTGGTAGCCGCTGACTGTACGGCATTGCCATGCGGCGGGCCCGGAGAGCTGGCAGAGCCAGACGCCGATGAAGGGCGCAGAGAAGGAAAGTCGGCTTCAAAGGAGGCCTGGAGAGGGAGAAGAGCTCGAAGCAGGTGCATGCAGCGGGCGGACAGGAGCGCAAGCGGGAGCGGAGGTAAGACACTTAGGATGTGGAATTTGGGATATGAACTTATAATCATCACGACGTCTGAGGCTACTAAACAAAGGCCACGGGAAGCTGCCCTGCCTGCCGCTGACGTTAAGCAAGGCGGCGCGAAATGTCCCCATTGAGGGAAACCCTTAGTTGCTGAACATAAGGGTGGTCACGCTCCCATCAAGAAGAACAGAGTTGCATGTTCCAGTGTCCAGGTAACACTACAGCAACGAGCTTCAAACGTCATGGGACGGGCCGAACCAGCTTTCATCTCGAGTTTTCGCAGTTGCGACAGGCGTTCCACATTCCGTATGGCGTACCCCCCGACGCAATAACGTAATGGTAACGGCGTAGAGCATCTTCGTGTCGTATACATGGTGCGCCGCGACGCAAAGCAGCAGCGGAGGGAATGAGGCACGCGACCCGACATGTCACACCTTGGATGGCACCGCAGCTACACCTGCCATGCTGCCATTGCTAGTCGCCAGGCCACTGGTTCGCAGCGGAGACCGGGCGTCATCATTCCCCCGTCCGCCTCCACCTCCTCCGTTACCCGCCGACGCACTCGCCGATGCTGTGCGAGCCGGCTGCCAATGGTCCTGTCCCCGCTCCGAGCGCGCGCCACCGCCACTGCCACCGCCCTCCGATTCGCCGGATCGGCCATACGCGCGGCCGGCGCTGTACCCCCCGCCTGGCTTTAGAGAGATGCCATCCCGGTCATCTCGGCTGCTGTGTCTCAGCCCAGCGGGGACGTATCCCGAACGACCGCCGGTGTTCGGGTAGCCGTTGTCGCGGGGTTTCCAAGACCGTTCAGAAAGACTGCCGCGGTCCGGGATACGGCCAAAGTCAGACTGACTTTTCAAGGGTGCGGCACTGATGGCACCGTTCAAAGCGGCACTGGAACCGCCTCTGGCGAGCCAGGGATCGGGTGGCGCGGCTGAGCGCGCGCTAGCGTCGAAGCCACCAGCAGGTTTGCCTCGCTTGCTGGCGTCAGAGATATCGCCTGCAAAGCAACCATGGATGCACCTTCAAATTGTGTATTAATAAGTGACTGAATTCAGACGTCTGCTGGTGACGGTTCGCTAACGGTATGGAGCTCGCCAGTTGCACTATCTGCGGTTGCTGGTCCGTGTTTGCTGCATAGAACACACCTCGATGGTGAAGAGCTGATGAACTACCACGAAGCCACTGAGGGAGAAGTTTGGGCCCGTCCTCCATAGGCCGTTCCCCGAGGCCGGGGCTCGGGCTGAGCCCAGCTCCCCTCCCCGGACCTTGATAATACCAGCTTGATTCGTAAACAAGATAAAGCTAACAACAGGTAAGGATGCTGTGCAAGGAACGGAGCGAGCCCTACTCCGCGGCGGCTGATAACCACCCGATAGGCCAGAATAACCTTCCTATGAGCTTGTTGAAGGCAATGAGCAATGCACAAGCCAAACTATAGTGGAGTTGCTGCCTAGAGCTTGCTTCGGTGAAACCTTGAATTATATTCTAGACTTACCCTTGCGAGGTGTCGCGCCTGTGTTATTTTATCAGAAGAAAGAGCACAAGGAAAGTATTTTGAAGCTACGGTGTAGGGAGTATGCTGATTGGCGTAGGATTTTTTGGCACAACGCAATGCAATACCCGCATGAATACGAGCAATCCCACATATCAAAAGCCTGGTCGTAACTGATTGTATACTTTTTGAAGCTTACAAGGAAGAGCACACCAGCTCATAGTTCGCCTTTGGTTGTCGACTTGGTCACGTAACTTCAAGAAGCAAGTGCCTCGTACCGAAGATGTATGAATATGAATACCAGGCTTGAGGTACAAGCATCTCCAATGAGTTTCTATTGAATTAATGTTCAACAGTTGGGTGGGGAGGGCCAAGGGTAAACCGACTCGGCCCCATCGTCGCTCTTTTTCGTTAGCAACCTGGCGATATGGGAAGCCTTACGGAGTCGACGTTTACCATCTCACAAACTCGGCATGGTCGGTTTATCCATCCCAGCAGCCTGTTGGTAGCCTAGTCCCGCTACACGCGTGACCATCAAACCCCGACCTTTACCCCCAACCAGACCTCACAACTACTATCCACCACTGGCAGCTGCGCGACCTTGTCGCGGCGGGGGATACATCGGATGAGCTGCTCTTTGTCTGCGATTCAAGCGTCCTTCAGTACAACTCGACCAGCCGAGAGGTGCGTAGCGCTAGCAGCTACCTCCGTTTCCTTATCCCAACCCAGGTACCCGTTGCCAGTGCTGTGCTGGTCCCCACAAGCACGAAAGGGCCCTTCTGCCCGCCAACAGTGGGGACTGTTGCCTATCCCTTTCCGTGCCCGGGTCACCCCACCTGTGCAGGTAACAGCAGTCCTCTCCCTGGACTGGAGTCCAAACAGCATGACGTACGCGCACGGCATATTGGCAGCAGGGGGGCCTAACAGTCAGGTGGGTGGTCGTTTTGAAATACGGACAGTACACCGTCAGACACATGGGGCAGCTTTCAGGCGCACTTGTGTTGCGTTGTGGACTTGGCGTGTATGGAAGGCGCTCCCGCAGGTGAACAGGGCGCTTGTGGGCCTTGGCGAAGTTTCCGTTTGTACATATACACATGCGCATATGCACGATCAGGGCGTGTTTTGGGGGACCCTCGCCCCGTACCGTCCTCTACACTGCCTTGCCACCCTGTTTCACGACGCCGCACTGGGCAGCCCACATCTGGTCCTTGTCCGGGCGTGCAGTGCTGTCTTCCTTCTTTCCAACACATCCCACCTCTACTGCTGTGGGACTGCTGTGGGACTCCTCACGCTCCTTATCATACGCAACCCAACCCCAACCTATATCCTCGCGGAGTATTCAGAGCCCGCCGCTTTCCCGCCCATTGCCTGTCGCCCTCCCACAGCTATGCGTGAAGGACCTTCGAGAAAAGCGGGTGCTACACCGCGACTCCTTGGGAGGTATGGCAGGCGGCCAGAGGCCTCTGGGGCATATAATGGCAGCCACCCCGGGCGCTATCCGGCCGCTCTGGAAGGAAGGGATCTAGAAATGCGTATATTTACATTGCGTGGGGACGGGAAGCGCTCGCATTGGCTTGCGTCGCTTCATTTTGTCATTAGCAAAGGGATGAGGCCTGTGTCGCCACCCTGCGCGGTATGGAACGCGGCCGTGCGGGAGCGCACATTGTCGGCCGCTGTTTCGGGATTTGAAGGAGACTGGCTTCACCCTGCTCCCCAAGGAGTGTACGAGGGGTGTGAGCTGTTGACGTTGCGTCTTATACTAGATGTTTCAGAAACTGAAGGGTTCCGTGGGCGGAGCCGGCGCGCCTGGGGTGATCTTAGGCACCCGCCAGGTTGGCTTTGTCGGCTGATCCGTGCATGGGGTCTTGCGACGGTCTCTCCACTCCTGCTGCGCTGGCTGCTTGCTCTCGCCCTTGCTCTCGCCCAAGCACAAGTCATAAGGTTTAAAGGGCATCCTTCCACCAAAGCCGCGCGTCGACAGCAATGCATATCGAAGTGGTGCTCTCTGGGGAGAACCTGCTGTGATGAGCTCTGAGCTAGCCCTCTGTTGCTGGCCTGGCACATGCTCTGACGGGACATGGCTTCCTTCCGGAGGCAGGTGCACGAGGTACCTTTGTATGGGTGGTACCGCACCATATGAGGAGAACCGCATCGGCCTTCATCGTTCTTCATATGCCTGTCCCGCTCTACCTGGATTGCAGGGTCCGTCAACAACGCGGTGCACGTAGCAAGGATGGCCCCAGGTAAAGGGAGCTGGAGGGGCATGTAGGCGTGCGTGCGTGTGGGTGGCCTTCAGGGCTGCGGTAGCGGCGGGTAAGCCCTGCATACAAGACACCTCTGGCCTGCTGCCCTTATCGCTTTGGGCGGCAAAGGATTTGGAGTGCGTGATCCTCTGGTGGTGTGTGTATCGCTGATTTTTCATGTCTGACGTCATCGGGTTGAATCGTTTGCTGAAGTGATGCTCGATTAAGTGAATGCCCGGCGACTTGCGTTTTTGCTGTGGTTGAAATGTTGCTGCGACTACTGCTGCTGCTGCTGCTGCTGCTTTTGATGTTGGCTGTGGCTGTTAATTGCGGCGATGGTGGCGATATCCCAGTTTCTTTCCCTTGCGCGTCCACTTGTTTGCGTGGCGCCTGTTGCTGCTGTGATTGCTGTTGCAGGGCAGCTGGTTCTGTACGCCTGCAATAATGGTGAGTACGCTGCTGGACGAGCGGGATCTCGCGCCAACCAGGTCCTGCACCCTCCCACAGTGCACACAAGGCGCAGCTTAGATTGCAGGCGTACGTCCGCATCGAGTCCTGTTGTATCACGTCTTTTTCAGAAAAGAACCGATTGGCGGATGTCAGATCGCGTGATACCCAGGATACTACAAGTCCCCGTGCGAGGAGTTTAAGCTTTTTCCTGTGCTTGCTTACTCGCTGCCCGAACTCGCTGCGCCCTTTGCAATGCTTGTGCGGCGCTCAGCTTGTCCTCCCCAGTCATGCCCCCTGCCACGTTCCGTAATAGATTAGGAAAGGTAGGGAAGGCAGTTTATCTCCAGATTATCCTAATATTTGTACCCTCATGTTTCTTAGGGGTCCCCTTGCCAATTTCTACCCTCTCCCGCGCAACCTCAGCGCATAGCCCCATCACCCTCCCCCCTTCATGTGCCTGCTGCTGTGGTCCCAGACTACATCGTCAAGGTGTTCAACATCGGCCCCCAGTCGCTGGTGCCAACAACCTCCTTCCGGTGGGTTGAGTTGAGTGTAACACCAACCATTGGAGCACGCGAGGCTGCGGTTCCACTCTCAGATGCTTTTGCGTGTGGCTCCGCCCCTGTAGTCGCCGCTCGGACCCTGCGACCGTGCCGTGTTCTTGCCCTCGGTAGCGCGGTGTCTCCTCCTAAGCCTGTTGTGCCTATATTTCCATAATTGTGATTTCGCTGTGGCGTATATTGAGATGATTGTGGCTTACGTGGAGTTGTCTGTTTACGGCAACTCCAGGACCCAAGTGCCCGTCAACTACTGCGCATTGTCGCCGGATGGTCGCCTCCTCTCCTGCGTGGGCGATTCCACCGAAACCGTGGTCTACGCTGTACGAGAATCGTCGTACACGCGGCTCTACTCGTTTCGGGAGGCGCATGATACAGGTCTGTCAAATCCCCAGCGGTACCGGACGGTGCAGGGACGCTGAGAGGTGTCTCGTATCAACTTGATTCCACAGTAGGAACCAGTCGACCGCGGTTCAAATCCTTGCCCTGTCACGAATGGGCTTTAGGAATGTCAATTCCAAGGCTTGCCTGCCCATCCTACTCCACACTAATCGTGGTTGAAGCTCCCTTTGGGCCAGCTCGCTCCGGGCCTTATCGGGGTCCGATCTTACTTCCCAAATTATTTATTTATTTAGCCATTTACTTATCGGCTATGTCCCACCCGACTCCATTCTCCACTAGGCAGCAGCACCGCCTGGTCCCCCAGCGGCACATTTCTGGCGTCGGCTCATCAAGACGGCACACTGGCCGTGTGGGATGTGCGGGCCCCCACCGCAGTGCACAAGCGCCGGCTCGCCACGGCGTGCCGGTGGGTTGGTGGGAAACTGGGAACACAGCAACTCGTGGGTCCATGACTTTATTGAGGTGGCCTCCGCATCCTGTGGCTGCTTGGATGCCATAGGATTAGACGACACGCTAGCCCTGAATTCGCTTCACATGTGCTCACACTCGCGTCCGCCTTCCGCCCCGTGTCGTCTGCCTCTCGCAGCAACGTCAAATTTTCCCCAGGGGTTCTGGACCTGATGGCCTTCGCCGAGCACGAAGACTTGGCACACATCGTCGATGTACGGCAATGGTCCCAGGTGCAACATCTCAACGCTGGTTGTGGCCAGGTGTGTTTCTGGCGGGTGCTGGGCAGCAACAACCCCATGTGGCATGCGAAAGCTCGGGGGCTGGCTGAGTGGTGGTGTATTAATGGCTAAGGTTCACATGTGGTAGTGCACATGATACCGGGATGAGTAGGCTTGGAAAGCGGTGGACATACCGTTGGTAATTGTTAGGTGGGAGGACGGGTTCCATCAGGGTTGAGGTTTCTGCAGGAGCAATGGCGGCCTTTTTGATGCTGCCATTCGTGTATGTTCCGACAGCTAGTCACGCACGCATGCTGGCCAGATATGATGCTCTTTGAGGGGCAAGGTGCGACCTGCGGCCTGGAAACAGCCTCATCCCACGGAGATCTAAAGATATCCGGCTGGAATTCCTCCGAGATCTGCGCGTCCCTGATCTCGCTACACACACACGAATGTGCGCAATGGTTTTGGTCGCCTCTGCCGCAGGGTCGCGACATCTCCGGCATCAGCTTTACCGCAGGCGGCGATCGCCTGTGGGTGGGCCTAGACGACTGTGTCATGTCGTACGATTTGGACTCGGTGGGCCGCAGGGCCTTCGCGTACGGCTGCCTTTGTTGACACTAGCGGGCCGTACAGGGCCACTGCGTGTCAGGGTCACGACCAGGATTCCAGTTCCCATGTCCATCGGCCTTTTGCTTGCGTGCGCCTCCATCTGGGGCGGTAGGTTAAATTAAGGCGGCGGTTTAATTGCGTGCGCCGAGAAGGCGCCTGCATTCGGGAGCGCAAACTGCGGGCTAGTAGCTACCACGTTTCCTGGCGGCACGTGGTGCGGGATACTCGTTCTTGGTTCCCTTCCTGTAGAAGTGCTGACGTTCTCGGCGGTTTGATCTCTTGAAACGACGTGCTGAAGTCTTTAAGGGAATGTACCGCTGTGCATTGAAGTGAGCAGTGCAAGTGCAACACACTGAATTGTGTTCTTTCCGGCTCTTATTGGACACGTTTAGAATGGCCGCCAAGTCGGAATAGTCCATGCTCGCCTGGTAGCGATGGTGCCCACCTACGAAGGCTGACTGGCAGCCGGAGGCCGGTGAGGCGAGGGGTCAGTTCAGAGGCAGTGTCCGGGGCGCAGTGTTGAGCATTAAAGAAAGGCCTGGAGACTGCGAACATGGCCGTTGACGGATTGAAACTATACTGTTTGGACGGCGTAGATGAGATGCGAGTGTGTTGTGGCTTGAGCAGCAGCGGCAGGCAGGTGGTGGTGGAAGCTGGGAAGAGGTGATGCCGGAGGTGATATCCATATAGACCTTTCTGGGGCGTAATGCGTCGGAAAATGGCAGAACTTGAGCATTTGTGTGTGACGCAATTTTTGCATGCGGTCTGGTATACCTTCTACGTCCCAGACGGCCAAATTTAATTTATTAAGATCAGTTTATTACGACTTGAGCGGACACCCGCGTTCTTGGCTACTGGAAACCTTATTGTTCGCACCGTGTCAAGAAGGATCCAAAACTCGGTCACGCCCCAGACAGGCACGCAAGTGCCAGGATACGCTGGACAGCACTAAACGCTATAAACACTCGTTGCTCAGGCGCCTAGGCGCCAATGCATACTCCCTTCGGCCGCATGGCATTGCCAAAGTCAGTCTGAGGCCCTTAAATAATTAAGCGGACCCTACCTTCCTTGCAACGCCCTTACGTAAGGTGTCGCACGTCTCTGTCGTAATCTCTGTCCCCTTGCGGCTCAAAACGGCGGCCGGATCCCTGGCCACATCCTTTCAGACCACGGGCCCTCCCAGACCCGCAGGTTTAACCAAATTCCAGTTGACAGTCATTGCGTTCAGGAAACTGCCGCAGCTAGCAGGTCAGGGCACGCCTAGCGAACCTCGCCACGAACCATGAAAAAACAGGACACCATACACTGCGTCCGGCCGCTACAACAAGCACAGCAGGACAGGTTTAAGGGCATCGGATGCATGCGGATTTATTCATTTTTCGTGCCATGGCCCTCTCTCCGCTGCAAGCTAGACCCGCTGCGTGCTGGCAGCCAGATATAGGACGCAGCGCGATCCAATACCTCATGTCACGGAAAAGAAGACATCAGGGTTCGACTACTCGTGATCACTCTGTAACCCCTCCTCCAGTGCCAGTTCCCGCCGTGCCTTCAATCGTCACCCTTATTTCCCATGAGGTTTTCATACCACCATTTTGCTTGCTCCCAACGTTTTGCCAAGGTATCCTTGAAGTCCTCCACGTGATGCGCCAGCAGGGAAGGGCTCTCGGGTTTTGCCGCGTTGTAGCACCGCTGGAGCTCGATGTGGAGCGCGTTGCAACGCCAAAACCACGTGGGACCTTCCCTTTCGACGCACTTCAGGAATTGGACGACCTCGGGTGCACAGCGGTCGTATGCTTCTTGCCGCCGAGGGTTTGTCTTGTAGACGCTGAATCCGTCTTGCAGGTATGGATCAAAATCCCGATTCAGCCGTTCTCGATGTTTTTTGTATTCCTCCTCAAGTTCTGCGGTGGTTGATGAGTCCGGAGCGGTGTTGGACGAGCTCATAATTCCAAGGGCCGCCTGTCTCCTAGCTGGAGCAATCTGACCCGACCACACCACAAGAACACGAAATGTTTATGAAAACTCAATATGGACATATCTGTAGGACATGATGCGCCTGCAGAAGTCGTACGCAAAGCCGTACCCTTACTGAAGCCCATACCGAGCCTGTCATGCCTGCCAGATACGCTTGCCTTGCTGTGATGGATTTTGATGTCAGCACGAACGATGATGCTTCGATGCAATGTTGACGATGGACCTGAAAGTCTAAGATAGCTAGCTAGGCTTTTATTTAGTTGGAGATAGCCGCGAAACCTCCATCTAACCATGAGTGTACCCACAATACTATACTCATGCACACCTGAACAAACGCAAGAAGTATCCAACTTGGTGCAAGATGCCAACATCGCGAGCGCAATTTGTCACAACTATGACTGCAGTGTTTCAGCGGCATCCTGTGTTCTTCGCTATTTGGCGACTCAACAGCAGACACTCATCGAAGAAGTTCAGCAAACGGCCAAAGCTGAGGTCTCGCTGAGCTTGGATGTGGCCTTTGTTCTCTTCAGCGCATATCTTGTGTTTGGGCCAATGCAGCTTGGTTTCGCGTTGGTGAGTAGTTGCACAAGGGCGCTGGTACGCAGGCAGTCTAAGGCATGCCGGTCATGCCTTTGACCTTAGCTCCCTGCATCTTGGCGACATATAATTTTCTTCGACCTGCGACGCAATTTCAGTTATGCGCTGGCGCAATCCGCTCCAAGAACAGTATGAACGTGCTCATGAAAAACATCCTCGACGCTTGCACCGGCGCCATCGGGTTTTATCTATTCGGCTATGCGTTCGCCTTCGGTCATGAAGCCAAGAAGTCATCCAACGGCTTCATTGGAAATTGGTGGGTCGGCGGCTGGGTTTGGTGGCGGTGGCACGGTCGTCGAGGGCCGCTTTCAGGACAGGGTAGCGGCGACTCCGAAACGCTAGTGGACACAGCAGTGGGACTGGCATAGAGGCTACACTGCTCGCCGTGGCAGCCCTGTACGTTGTATATTACTGCCCAACACCTAATCGCAATAAGTTCCAAAGTCACGTTCCAAACTGCGCGCCCGTGTGTGTGGGGCACACGTTGCGCACGTGTTGCGCACCACACACACACGGCCCTCCCCCGGCGGCCGCTACTCCGTTCAGGAATTTCGCTTTGTCATTCACGACAAAGGAGTCGTCCCTGAGCAACGTGTTGGAGTTTGACGACGACTTCCCTGATGAGGTGTGTGTCTGTGTGTGTGTGTGTGTGTGTGTGGTGATGGGGGGGGCAGCAGCCGTGGTAGCCGACTGGGTCAGCCCCGCTGGAGGCCAGCTCTGAACTCTCACTGCTGGGAAAACAGCGCAGCGAATAGAAAGGAACACAAACTTGTCTTCTGCACGACGACGTCAAGCTGGACCTAAAGCAGCGCGCAGGTGTCGTAAGGCCCCCTGAAATAAGGGCGCTCTCTCCAGGTGTTTCCCCTAAGACGTAAACAGGAGGGAAACGATTAAGTACATATGGGTGGGTAAGAAACGCCGTGGCTATGTGTCAAACGAGGCAGCGGGCCTTAAGGTGACCGGTGCGAACAACTGCGGGGCGGAGTCCGTTTAAGGGCACTGCATGGGCTCAACGTTTCGTTCGTTTAAGGGGAGGATGAATTTTATAACAATCGAAGGATTGAGAATTTTTTAATTCAGGCTGGTAAACTATTCCTTAGCTATAACCCCAGACCTGAAAAGTTATCTTAGCTTGCATTTGGTGGCTGGAATGGAACTGTATCTTAAAAACTCTGAATGGGCTACACCCCAGGGTTGGAGAAACGAAACGCCCTCTTGTGCGATCCCTTCCCTCCCCTCCTTCCCCCCGGTACCCAATTCCTCGTCCTCCCGCCGCGGGCGCCCCCAGCTACCGCCAGCCGATCCACGTCCCTGCCTGGGACCCTTCGATGATTCCCCTCCATAAGCCCATACAAACCCTGCATATGCCACGTCCTACGACCACGTCCAACAACTCAACCTGCACCCGGATGCACACACGCCAGGGCTGGCACTCGTGGTTCTTCCAATTTTCGCTGTGCGCCATCGCCACCACCATTGTGTCCGGGGCCGTGGCAGAGCGCTGCACCTTTGGCGCCTACCTGGCTTACAGCTTCTTCATATCCGCCTTCGTGTACCCGGTGGTAGCGCACTGGGTGTGGTCACCGGACGGCTGGCTCAGCGCATTCAACACGTACGTGGGGGGACGTGTGCGAGGGGGGCCTGGGCAGGGGCAGGGGCTGGCTTGGGGCGGGCGGGATGGACTTGCGAGACGGGAGAAGTATTGCGTGTGTTATACATCTTCTGGAGTCGCGTTGCCTTCCGAAAGTGTAACCTGGGGCCCCATACGGGCCCTGAGGGGCCCAACGGCCAGTCTAACTGTCCGAAATTGATAGATATCATAAAAGCGCACAAGAAAAACTAGTATCCTAACGCTCAACAAGAGAAAAACGTATATGGGACTAACCGGACTATCCAAACTGCTATGCCATCTACCTGCTATTCAAGACCCTCCTTATCCATATACTATGGATAAGGTTCGCCAACTTCAGCTGGGTCGTCCGCTACCGTCATATCCTTGATGGTTTGATCCATCTGAAACCCGACAGAAGGCCCCTGCACGGTCATATGCCGGGCAGTCCAAAAGGACGTCCGCCAACCCACGACGGACCAACAGCTACCCGAGCACCGACAAATAGTATATTAGAAATACTTTATTAGGAATGCTTTCACGCCATGAACCCAAACCCCAACCTCGAACTTCTTCAGGTCCAAGGGAGGCTACGCCCTCATTCTCCGGTCGGGCGCTATTGACTTTGCTGGGGCGGGTGTGGTGCATGTGACCGGCGGCATGGCAGCACTCATGGGCGCGTGGGTAAGTGGGGTCCCGGGAGGCACTGGTGTGGCGGTGTGACCATCTATTCATGTTCGTTCGTTTGCGAGCATATGGCCCCTGCCATAGCTGATGCAGGCCTGATGCGGCATATATATGGCATACGCGGGACGGGAAGCGGTCTGCAAAGCAGCATAGCGGCATATCCCGCCTCCTCAAAAAGTGGCGGCCTCCTCAAGGGCAGGTGTTCCCAGGAGGATGTGACCATTGGTCGTGAGGCGCTCGGGCTCTTGTCCCTCGGGGCCGCGTGGGCGCTTTTGTGAGCGCGTGCATGCAAGCGCTCTGACAACGAGCCGCCTCGCCTTTATTTGCAGTCGACAGGAAGGCCCCCAAACTCTCGCCGAGAAGCACACACTTAGTCCTTCATTTCGGTATTTACGGTGTTGCGCATTACACCATAAGCAATTACGGTCCATTTTTGGGATTACGATGTAATTCCCAGCCCTATTCACGCAACTTGGCTTCCCGCCTTCCAAACCCTCCCATCAGATCATTGGACCACGCATTGGCCGCTTTGACGCGTCTGGCAAGGTGAACGAGATCAAGGGCCACTCTGCAACGCTGGTTGTGATGGGCACCTTCTTGATGTGGTTTGGCTACTACGGCTTTGCGCCAGGCGCCAACCTCAGCGTCGCCACTGCGGTGAGGCACGTCTCAAGAGTTGCGGTTCCTGTGGCTTCAGCGTCGCCGCGTCTCTTATTATTGTTGTTGCTGGTGCTGCCGTTCTTGAATGAGTTGAGGATAGTTTACATGTGTGTCTCTCCTTCCCAACTCTTCCCAACTCTTCCCAACTCTTCCCAACTCTTCCCAAGACTTCCCAACTCTCCAGTCCGCAGGGATCTGGCCTCTTTCCCCCAACCCCTCTCCACCCGCACACCCTCGACTACCGCCCCTGTCCCCAATAACCCGTCCATACCCCGCTCAGGACGCCGCTGTGGTGGTGTCCCGTGTTGCGGTGACCACCACCCTGTCCGCCGCCTCTGCCGGCCTCACTACGTTATTCTTGCGCTACGCCATGTCATCCACTTGGGACACAGTGCTTGTGTGTAACGGCTGCCTGGGGGGCCTGGTGGCCATCACCGCGGGCTGCGCGGTGGTCGAGCCTTGGGCGGCGGTGCTGTGTGGCAGCGCTGCGGCGCTGGTGTTCGTTGGTTCGGACTACTTGTTGCTGTACAAGCTCAAGATTGGTGGGTTGCATGTTTGTTTGTGTGTGTGGTGATGGTAATTGTGGTCTGGTAATAGAGGCAGCGGAACCCTGGGTGGCCGGACCTGTTGTCCTGCCTCTTGGCTTTTGCGGTGGCCGCTTGATTGTCGCCCGCCTGAGTACGTCGTCCCTGCCTCTGCTTTTCTCTGGCCCGCGGCATATATGTGCGGCCGGTTTATGCCGCATTTTCTGAACTTCTTCCTTCCCACCGTTTCCTTTTCCCGTTGTTTTCCCTCCTCCTCCCAGATGATCCCGTCAGTGCGGTCTCCATGCATCTGTTCTGCGGGCTGTGGGGTCTCTTCTTCCCCGGCTTGCTGGCCAAGCCGCAGTACATGGCGGATGTGTACGGGGATGACGGCCTGGCCGACTCAGTGAAGGCAGCTGGAAAGTAAGAGAGTTAGTCTGTTTCTTACGTGTTGGGGGAGAGGGCAGGGGAGGGTTTCGTGCTCATGCTCCGCGGCTTCCTCTCGTCCTCTTAATCTTTGCTACCGTCACGGCTGCTGCCACCGCCACCACCGCCAGCCCCATCGCCGCCAGACCGCAACTCTTCCTTATCCATAGTCAACAGGCCGCCTACCATTCCTCCCTGCAGTGGCCCCTGATAGCTGCACACTGCCTGCGTCCATCCACATATCCATCCGTCGGTCTAAACGGCCCCCTTCCCATGCGGTGCAGGTACGGCATCCTGTACGGCGGTCACGGCCAAGTGCTATTATGCCAGCTTATCGAGGCGGTCGCCATCTGCCTCTGGGTGGGCCTTATGATGGGCACTTTCTTCTACGTGTTCAAAGCCGCCAAGCGGCTGCGGGTGCCTGTGGATCAGGAGCTTGCGGGGCAGGGTAAGTACCCTGAAATCCAGAAACCTCCCTCTGTTCCTCTCCTCTCCCGTGTGATACATGCATTGACTCCATAAGTTTTATCATTTATTGAACGCCCGCACTCACATTACCTCCATTACCCACCAATACCTCACACACGCTATAACCCCTGGCTGAGGGTTCATCGCTTGCCTTTCCCCTTGTCACCCAACGCCCGTCTCCCCCACCCCGAACATCGCCGTCAACCCGCAACGTATGTGTAGATGTTACCAAGGAGGGCGTCGAGCCGTACGACGGAGCCGGCGGATCCGTTGGGCCGCAACAGGGCGTGGGCACTACTGCGGCATTCGGTCCCGGGGCCACCGTCACCACCTCGGCCTTTTACAGCAATGGCGAAGGGGAAGAAGGCGTCTCCGGAGGGTATGCCACCAACGATTGAGCCCCCGGGTTAGCCGCACGGCTGCGGCCGGCTCCTGCTGCAGATCGACTTTAGAGGTTAGTTCGAGGGCCAGGCCTGCTGTAGGCTGGCCTGCTGCCGCCGCCTGCTGTGTTAGCTTTTGGATCAGATCCACAAATGTATCCATTGATTCCGGTTGGGCACTGTTGAAGTTGCTTAACTCGCTCAGAAACGGGAGTTTTATGCTCGTGTGTGGTCGTGTGGGGAGGTGCAAACCTGGGGAAAAGGAAAGGAGGACAGCTTTGGCGGGCCCCTGGCCGTCTGCCCACCTGGATGCACCTGGATGACAAGTTATTGGTGATGTTATGTGGCCTGGCGCCAGCGGCGGTGGGGGCGGCGGTCGTCACCGTTTCTTCGTGGGTCCCTGTTAACGTAGCGACGATGGATGTGGCTATGACTAGGCAGCCTCCCAAGGATGCAACTAAGCCTCCCACTTGAAAAGCGTGCAGTGGGTCGCCACCTTGCGTAGGGGCCCTAGGGTAATTTGTACGCAGTGAAGGGGGCGTGCAGCGCATGGCAACACTGTAAATTATACTTTGGGTGCTTATCTTTTGATTTTTTTGACAATCAAAGCCAACCACTCGCGTGCGCGAGTCTGAGATGGCGGTCAAGGCGGCTAACCTGCGGCCATCCAGTGAACGGGCAATCTGTGGCTCTGTGGCTATGCATCCGAGACGAAGGCAATACAGAGCCACGTGATCCTTTGCCTGTGTATGATTACATCCAGGCCGTGGTTGTTGACTACGTGTGTTCTGTTATTCATACCATCCGCAGTGCATGCTCATCATGCAACATCATCTTCCATCTTTGCCGTTCGCCTCATCCAGTGACCCGAAGCGCCCTCATCCGCACTAGGTGTGTGGCTGCTGAGTACCCACTGCGTGTATAAGTACACGCGGGGGAAGGCAGGCTTATATGTGTGAGGGAAATGAGGGAGCCGCGAAGTCGGGTAAGGGGGGTAGTGATACATGTAATAAGTTGTGCGTGTAGATGTATACGCGTGCCTGTATGGTGTCTGTATGATGTGGTAATGGCAGGAGATAATCCCACACCGGACTGGTGGTTTGACTCTGATGATAGTGGACTGGAAGGTGATGCAACCCTCGATTTATTAATTGACAGCACAAACAATATGCTGATGCTTGTCTACACGTTTGCTTGTTGCTAGCGCGTGGTGCTGCACTTGGGACGGATTTGCTCCTTTTGACATGGAGAAGTGCGTAATGGAGCTTGGAAATGGATGGCATGGATATATTGCATCACCTCGTAGTGGCTGGCGCTGAGTTGCTGACCGACGATGTCCAGAGTTGGGGCTTCAAGTGTGGGCTGAAGTGATCGGGCAGTGGGGTGGGCGAAAATCGGGGTATGGGGAGGAAAGAAGCCGGGTAAAAGGGGCCGAAGCGATTGCGGGCGCCGCAGAATGGTCTGACGTTGCGGCTAAGAACACAGATACGTCATAGGCATTGCCATGCATTCTTTCAAACAGATGGCAGTACAGCAGTGAATAATGAACGGGCCTGGGGCTAGCAGCGGAGTTCCCGCCTGACGCCGATGTGCTCTACTAGCGAACGTGACATTTCAAGGCATTGGGGCAAACAGGGATTGGAGCGTAGCACCTGGCCGTGCGGGAGAGACGGGTGGCACCAAACCAGGAAGGTTTTCCTCTGCATAACATGGGGCTTTGCTAATGGAGTGAAGAGTTCTGGAGCTTTATGGCTTAACGAATAACATTTAACCTTTCGCGGAAATCCTGACGCGGCACATCGGCACAGCTGGGGTGGGGGGGCGAAATAGTGTTAGCGGCATGCGCACAGCAATACCGTCTAAAGGCAGGTTGGAAAGGAGATCACTGCCTTTGTTTAGATATAATCAATTGTGCATGGTTCCGTTCAAAAACTGTCGCCCACCTACCGCCCTTGCCTGCTTCCACCGACCGTTGCGGCGGATCGGGCGCCGACAGCAAAGACGGTTGCACACAAGTGCGTACGCGCGGAAATTTGAGCGTCGCCACCAAGGGACTCGTTTGAGGTCCCGCCCGGTACAGATATCCAGGGGTTCGAAACCAGTTTCCCCCGTTCGGAGATCAATAGCGGGAGAGAGGAACGCCTGCGCATTTACACCAGCGCAAGAGGGCCCCTCCCTTGCATCTCTCATCTAGCAGACGCTGGGGTAGAAGGGGACGACATGACACGAGAGTACACGTAACCGCATAGGGCTTCCCCGAAACACCTATTACGGGGTGCCGTACGAACATGGCTCTCTGGACCACCTGAGTGCGCCATGCCAACAGATTAGTGATGGCATTGGTAAACCACTCCATTGAGAGAATTGCATCATTTGTTTCTCTTTCCTGTTATAAGCAAGCACGTTTCCGACGCAGCTGTCGGAGGTGACTTCAACAGCTAACAAAGGAACGAAGCAATCTTAGGAGGCGCAAAAATCTACAGGTAAGTATGGATGACGCTTACGTGAATGCTGCCCTCAGGTAGTCTAGGGATCTTAACCTTCCAACTTGGCAGATGTCTTTGCATAGTGCCTTAGTCGGATTTTTTGCATGTGACCTTTAAATAATGGTATCGCTGCGGTCCGGTGTAAGATGACCGTTTCATCCCATCGCTGGTCATGGTATGCCAAAGTGTCTAGACTTTCTCGGTACAGCTGGGCCTGTCTGTTTGCAATACGTATACGTGTTGCAACAAGCAAATGTAGTGCATCCTTGCTACGTGGTCATATAGCGTGTGTAGTCGAACACACGCTATCCGCATGGTGTATCGGGGTCAGACACCACTTTTGGCAACGGGTACCGCCTTTTACCCCGAATAACTTAAATGGTATCAGCTTTCTGGTTCCCCCTCCCGCGCCCCATGGGCCTCTCGGGACGAATGATGAGACGTGACAGGTACTGCTTAACACCGTCCTGCCCATCCGGCGAGTAGGTCCTACCAGGCTCAGGGCTAGGGAAGCTCACGTAGGAAGGAGCATGGGACGGCAGCGGCGGGGAAGCCCAGGGGTGGGCCTGGAAGGGTTGGCGCAGGCAGGGTGTTGGGTTGGGTTGACCAGGTGCAGCTTTGCTCGGAGCTCGTGACTGTGCTTCACGGTTCAGAGCTTCCGAAGCCGAGGCGCACCCCGCGCACCCTGTCAACATCCGCTGGCACCTCTGATCCAGCAGCGTCTGCTTCTGGATCTACCCCTTCCCGCTCCTTGTCCCCTTGCTTCCGCTGCGGCGTCGCAGTCGGTTGCTGCAGCACCCACCCGGCGTGGGCCATCCCGAGCTGCCTGGTCCTTATCCACGAGCCGTGTTGTAGTGGCTGGCTCGTCCAGCTGCGTAGGCTGGTCGGCCTGCAGAAGCAAACTATCATGCCTGACGTCCCGAGGCAGGGAAGAAACTCTAGTCATCGACTCGGTGTGCCCGTCCGTTTGATTGCGGTCGATTCCCCGGGAAGGGACCGGGACCCGGGTCTGTAAATTTGAACATTGCCAGTCGCATACAGGTGGTTGAGAAGCACAGAACGGACTGAGCAGTGGTCACTTATATGCCCACGGAGTTTGTAAGACGTGGGCGGGGAGGACGGAATCCATACCAGGTGCAAAACTTCACAGCCCGCCGGCATCCTCCTTGAGTAGCCTGCTGCTCTGGTTCGGCTCTCCCACATCAGCCCTAGCCATGATGCACATGCTTCAACCCCATCCATTGACGGCGGTGAAGCAAAAGGTGGTCCAGGCTGGGGCCACAACCCTTATCCAACAAAACACACTATTTTCCCATCACCATCAACCATTCAATCATCCCTCCGATCTCAATGGCAGGTTTGCTCTTCAAACTGTGGCTGCGGACTAGCTAGAGCTGGTGTGAGATCAGCAAGCTGGAGCGGCAGTGACGGTGGCCTGTGGCGCGCGAGGCTTAAGTAAACTCGCGCGTGTTTCCTTGGTGTAGCATCCCCAGTGAAGCCGCGGCAAAGGAACCGGAACCGGCACCACCCTCTGGAGGGGTCCAATAATCGGACACTGAGGAAGGTTTCCTAGTAACTCTCCACTTCTGTGGCAATCGCATTAGCGAGGAACAGCAGTCTGCTGAGGCATTTGGTCCATATCTTCCCTTGGGCGTATCCACCTGCAGAAGTGTCCTGACGTGCCGCCCTAGACGCAACCAGATCTTGATTGGCGGTGCTGCTTGGCGACTATTCCTGTGGCTCCTTTCAGGAAACGCGTGCAGCAGGCCCACCATCTGCGCCAGAGGCGATTGACCCACGGGTCGTTTGCAGTCCGTGCTTGACGCACGTCCGGCAGAACACAGGGCAGGAGAAGCAGTAATAATACGAAAAAAAGGCTATCGCAGGATGCTGCTGCGCTTGCGGTCCAGGGATGGGCTTGAGAGGATAGAGGTGAGGGAGGGTGTTGCTGGTTGGTTTGGCAGGGAAGGAAGGAAGAAGGGGACCTTGGACCCACAAGGCAAAACCCTCCAGCGCCCCGGGGGCCCCTCCTGCGACGAGCCTTGACGCGTGACTCGTCACGGGGTTGACTGCGATTCCATGGTCGTTGGCATCTTCATCTATTTCGCTACTTGCCCAAATATAGTACCACTCGCATGCGTATCACTCGCTCGTACTTGTTGCAATCTACCGGCGCGGGTGGCGTTGAATTGGTTCTCACCGATCGCCTCCCCCATTGGGGCCCCACCGCAATCCGTGTGGGTAGGTGGATGACGGCGCCAACCTATCCGCGCTAAAGGCCGCTATCAATGCCAAGCTGGCCATCCCCCTGGACGATATGTTGCTGTCTAAGCAGCCGGGGCTCCTCACCAGCAAGGAGCCGTACAGCTTCAGAGATCTAGCCATCAACGACGCATCCCTTAGGTGGGTCCACGACGAATATAGTCCAATCTTATTTGGGTAAAACAAGTATGTAATGCCTTTTGTGGGTCATGGGTTAACTTGGCCACTGGAGGCTTGGAGCCTAGCCATATAAGATAGCGTAGCGTGACCCATGTGCAGCTGCGGCACCCACGTACGTTGTGTTCCATGGGCCGCCCTCCCGGCATCGTGCTGACGTTCTCAACCTTCTGCTCGTTATAATCTTTTCGTAAATTGAGTACGGTACACGTCTCCAGCCCCAGCTCCGGCGCCAACTCCTCCAAGTCTGCAGTTTTTCCCCGGCGTCTCCGTCCTCCACCGCGCCGTCCCCCAACCGCACTGCAGGTCCCAAGGTGTCTCGCACGGCGATATGGTGTACCTGTTGTACAGCTTCGAACGCCAGGTGGAGCCGGCGGTCCGGCCAGCAGGTCGGTGTACGGGTGGTTTCGAGGCTGGAGGGTCCCCAAGGAAGTATATCAGCGTGCGTGGGGAAGTAGTGCACAATCAAAAGGGAGGGCATTTGGGAATAACGACGGCCTCCTACGCCTGGGTGTGAGAGGTGTGCGCTGTATCTTTGTGCGTGCGGGGTTGTGTGTGTGGAGGGGGCGAGAGAGGGGCAATGGTCTTAAGACAGTTAAACCGCCCTGCGGTTTCTGCCTGTCGCATCACACACCATTAGCTTTCGTTGGCAGTGTTCGCAGAGTGAGTGGGCGTGAGCATACCCTGCGGCGCTTTTGTCGCGCATAGATTGGCCTGTATACTGCGCCTACACGACGGTTGTTTCGACCTGTTGAGGTGTACCCTCTGCGGAACACCTGGTTGCGGTGCTGCCCACTGCAATGCCTGAACATCCTGCGGTGCTGCCCACTGCAATGCCTGAACATCCTGCGGTGCTGCCCACTGCAATGCCTGAACATCCTGCGGTGCTGCCCACTGCAATGCCTGAACATCCTGCGGTGCTGCCCACTGCAATGCCTGAACATCCTGCGGTGCTGCCCACTGCAATGCCTGAACATCCTGCGGTGCTGCCCACTGCAATGCCCGAACATCCTGGGGTGCTGCCCACTGCAATGCCCGAACATCCTGCGGTGCTGCCCACTGCAATGCCCGAACATCCTGCGGTGCTGCCCACTGCAATGCCCGAACATCCTGCGGTGCTGCCCACTGCAATGCCCGAACATCCTGCGGTGCTGCCCACTGCAATGCCTGAACATCCTGCGGTGCTGCCCACTGCAATGCCTGAACATCCTGCGGTGCTGCCCACTGCAATGCCTGAACATCCTGCGGTGCTGCCCACTGCAATGCCATCGCCAACCCCTTTTCAAGTTTTTCAACCCCTGTTTGGATGTCTTATCGGACCCTGTTGCGCATCTCGTGGTGTTGGGGTCGTTGGTGTGTTTGTCGGAACCTCAGCCAAGCCTTTTGGAGTTCATATGACGCTGAATGACGTGATGGCCAAGGTAATCAAGATTGAGCGGCAGGAGAAGCCTCTTGTCTCAGCGATAAGCTTTGACCGGAATGCCGCCAACGTATTCCAGTCGTACCTGCAAGGTGGGTGGTACGGAGTGGAAGCCCCTTGATGCCCCCGAGTGTAGCTCCAGCCCGTGAAGCTTGCCCGGCGCCGCCGCAGCGGCGATGCAGGTGCTGCAACGCGGCACCGCTGCTGCTGTTACTGACTGACCCAGTCCTGGTTGCTGCCGCTGTAGGCGCGTTCAACTTTTCAATCAAGCGTGGGGGCCTCTTGTACGGCAACGTGGACGATGATAAAACAGTAAAGGTGGACTTCATTTACGAACCACCACAGGTACCACAAAACCCGTTTAGATGTCGCCCACGTCCTTCGCAACCAGCCCACGTCTATCGCCATGTTCCTATATCCCAACACCAACCCGCACGGCTCCAACCGTTTCCCACGATCCCCTAGGAGGGCTCCTCCGACAAGCTGCAGCTCCAGCGGCATACCCCTGAGGAGCAGCAGGTGGACCTGCTGGCTCAGTTGCTGGGCTACCGCAAGGTGGGCTTCATATTCTGCCAGAGCGTCAAGGCACAGAAGGCGGCGGCGGAGAGCGACTACATCATCAACACGGATGAGCTGATCATGATGGCGGCAATGCAGGTGAGGGAAGGAAGGGGGGAGGTATTGTTAGGAGGGAAGGCTGCGTTGGAGGGTGAATTGCAGAGCAGGGAAGGAAGGGGGGGAGAAACACAGAAAAGGTGGTGTGCAAAAAGGGAAAGTAGGCCCGACTGGGACTGCCGACCGCCGATGGGTTTTTCCAGTTCCTCAGTTGGAGACGGGAATTGCATTGCACTGAAGAAGGTCAGGGGATTTGTATTGGCCTCGGGATTTGGGCCGCCGTGAGGCCTTGCCGTCTCCGTCCCGCGGGATTGCAGCGCCAGCTAGGCAGTGGAGAACGAGGTGGTGTAGTCTCGCGATTGCAGGGCTGCCTCCCTTTCGTCCACTATGCGCTATACACTGCCGCGCCGCTCGGCCACCCCGCGGGCACCGCTGGGCGCAGTGGCCATAACCATTATGTGGTGTGGCGTGGCGTTCTGTTTTCGGTGTTCCGGTTTCGGAGCTCTTTTCAAATTCTCTCCCCCTTCCCGCCTGGCTATAAATTGATAGAGTGGTGGGCGGGAACCTCGCGACGCAAATAGGGGCCGCAGAGAATTGCATTTCATGATTGCGGCGTGATGATCCAAGATCCAAGAATCCGCCCTGGGATCCGATGTCAAGGGAGGGCGGCGCACGCCCATTACGGGGTCGATGCTCGATGCTCTAGCTCGGCACACATTTTGCAATTCGGCTGAACCTGCACTTTACTTATTTATTTTTCGCTACACCGTCGCAGGACGAAATTGGCGAGCATTGCACCACAGCGCTTGTCACCTTGGTGGAGGAGCCGGAGACCGGCCCGCAGGTTCATTTCGAGGCGTTCCAATGCAGGTGAGGCGTTCAGAGCGGAAGCTGTTAGTGAAGGGCCCTGCTGGGGCAGCACATCTCGCTGCGTTTGCCAGTGGGACTCGGGAGGAGCGATAGAGGCGCTGGCGTTATGGAACTCGGGAAAGTGACCATAGTAGAAAGCTATCTTGGACGTCGAGTCTACTTCGCTCCTGGCTTTCTCTCGCCCTTCATCTCGTTCATATGCATGTTCCACCCTCACCCACTCCTTTCCACAGCGATTTGGCGGTCCGGCTGGTTCGCGAGGGCTGGGTGGTGGCCCGGGACCCTGTGGATGGAGTCTCCCGAATGGTTAACCCCAAGGAGCCCGAATTGAAGCAGCCAGTCATGCTTAACAGTAAGAAGTGCGCTCAAGGCCCAACGGGACGGAGGAGATGGGCGCAGCAGTCGAAGCCACATGGTGGCAGGGACACCGTTCCTAAGTTTGCGCACAGTTTGCTCGGTTGCCTGCCTTTCTCGTGTTGTGGGTCGGGCACCTTCCCTTTCACCTCCCATCCTTTTCTTCTCCCCGTCGCTTCTTATCCTTATCCTTATCCTAACCCTCATTCCTTTTTCGCAGAAGTCTGTCTTCAATGTATTCGATGTTTTATGGTCTTGAAACTCATCTTGCGCGTATGTACATTGAGTTCCCTGATGTAATACTCTCCACGGTTGCTTCCTACCGGGGCTTGCCGTCCGTGTCCTCTGTGGACTGGCCTATTCGTCGCTCATCGCGCTGGCCCCCCCTTCCCCTTCAGACCGGGATACCGACGAGGTGGACAACGATTGGTTCTTGTGCCCGGTGAGCATCCGGGATCACGACGGCCGTCTCACAACTTCGTTCCCCGTGGAAAACCGACTCACGCCACAGGTACGGCCACCGGGGTTGATAGCGTAAGATGGGCCTTCACGACAGGTCAGTGCCGCAGGGGGCCCCGTACGGCGGCAGGCTGTGCATTGGGTGTTTTTTTTTCCAATTTGGCCTGCCAAGACGGAGGTCAACCGAAACAATGCCCCGCTCCCTTCTCTACGTTTTCATCTCTCCGTTACACGGACTCTTCCCTTCCCTGGTGCAGGGTAGGACCGAGCTTCGGGAGCACCTCAAGCGCATGTCCTCGCGGCCCTACGTGGAGCGCCTCTCGGACTTCCACCTGCTGTTGTGGCTGGCCAAGCAACCCAACCTGGACCCCAATGATATGGCACTACTGTGCGAGGCGGTGCGGGAGCACAGACCCGTGCTGGAGGGGTACCGAGTCATCATCGACTCCATCGCAGGCATCTCACAGTGAAGCAGGGTTAGGGCGGGGAATGGGTAGCTGCCATGGGACAGGGCGGAAAGCAGGGGCGGGGTGTCGTGGGGAGAAGTGGGGGCTAACGGGTCCAGCGTGGGGTGGGGGAGCGAGTGCTTAGCGACTCATAACGGAACTCCGGGATGTGCAGGTGCTTATTGACTTCGCGTCCATCCCAGATGAGGCGGAGCTTGCCTTTCTGCTCTACGACGCCCAAGGGACAGGTCATGAAAGGGCGGGCTTGCTTGTGTGTGGGGTGGTGGGAAGTGCTGCCTAAAAGTTTTAGGGAAAAGGGATGGATTTTGAGAGGTGTTTTTGTATTCGGCGTGGTGTAACGCGTTACGAGTGTGAGGGTTGTCACGGAGGACGCCGGAGCAGGCGGGATGTTTTGGGACAATCCACACTTCGGCTTAGGATATTCTGGAATGTTGCATGTTGGCGAAAAAACTCCCTTGCAGCTGTCGTGGAGGCGGCCTGTACGGTGACACACGTGTGGAATCTGCAGGGGTTGGTGATTTGCATCCTCGCTTCGGTTGATACGCCGCGTACATTCTGTATATTGGCTCATTTGAGTTGTAGGAACAGGTCCTGTTGCACGGCGCAGCCCCACACACTTGGGGCTCTTGTTGCGTTCGGGTTACAAGAGATTAGTTCCTCCCACTGCAACAAGAGATTTGTTGTCCGTTTCATGGTGGCTAGGTACATGAAGGTGTATCTTACCTGTGGTGAGTTCCCCTGACAGAAGTTAGGAAAATTAGCTCACTGAAGCTCGCGCTGGCCGTCGGGCACATGTTCAGGATTTCAGTTATCAACACTCCATATGAACCCCATGATGTACGTTCAACAGGTAGGCCTGTATGGTATCTATTGTTTGGTGGCACAACATGCATCCGTCTATACGTGCGAATGATGCGACTTTCCATTCCATAGCATTTTTGCAGGCGATGCAGTGTATGCAGGGTAACGAGAATTTTTGGTGACATGGAACGGGGCATGCTTAGAAAACCCATCCTTATACATGTGCAAACGAGCACTTATGAATTTCCACATTGACAACTACCTGACCATTCCCGGAGCGCGGCCCCGTTGCATCGGCCAGTAGCTGCAGCCCGTGGAAACGCTAGCCTCACACCTCGCTAGCCATACAACTAATACGAAGTCCTGACATTCTGTACAGTAAGTACGTGATCCGGCATGGTCCTAATTTCAAGACCACCACAGCCTACATTTACGAGCAGCGGACTGCTCAACCGCATCATCGACTCCAAACCGGACAGCTACGTACAATTTTAAAGGTCCCTTCTGGCGCCATTTCGCCAAGGTATCTAAAACTAAAATATCCACTACAGCCTACACATCCGAAGAACTCTGCTAATGCTAAAGAACCCGCATTCATTCCCGAAGGATACGTTTAACCCGGGCAAAACGCACTAGGGTGAAAACCGAAAAATCCTGCCTTCATACATGCTATCTGCATTGGCGTGGCCCAAACTCCACGAGCGTACGAGCACTGCTGAGCGCCGGGCACTTGCCGGCACGTGAACAGCCCGACGCAAACAAACACACTTTTGCAACAAGACTTCCTCCCGGCCAACCCTGCCCCACTCCAGATAAGCTTCCATGACACGCCTTAGCCCTGCGCGTAGCGCTTGGTCCACTCCGCGGCCGTGCGATCATGCGCATCTCGGTCAGTCAAATATTGCTGGGCAATGCTGCCAACCAAAGGGTCGTCTGCAGGGGAATCGGAATGGTGGGGTAAACAGCGCTGGCTGGATAGAAGGCGGACAAGGAAGCCGCTAGATTATATAGATCCATACCAAACCCAAATGTACGCTAACTGGTAAGGTTGTCACCGTTTCGACAGCACACGAGCACAACGGGGACGCTATGTACAAACGGAAGGGCTCGTCCTAAATTGCGCGGCGATAACAGCGAAGTAGCGGGCTGCTACCTAAAGGAAAAGCAGCCATGCTACACAAAACGACCTAGAAGCAAAAGCCCAATGGATAGAGGAGCAACCCTACGACAGTGTGCCCCAGCAGCAAGGCCAGCGCCAAGCAAGTGTCCATGCCCACAAAGAGCCCCGCCAATTACCCATGCAGTCATTGACGCCCGACTTACTCGGGTTGCAGTCCGTGAGGAGGGAGCAAACGGAGAGGAGCACCTTGGAAATTGTCAGCGCCGGGCTCCACTGCACAAGGCCAAGTTCAATTGCGCGTCAGGACTTTGTGTCTGCACAATGCTTGGCCATGCATCAACCCCCGCCTTTCCCCCTTAACGACGGTATAATCATAAACAAGACTCGGTTGTCATTTTTGTCACCGACGCCTACCAGCCCGGGCTGGACCGGAGGCCCACAGCTTCCCACCCATCCCACCCCCTTGATGAGTAGAGATATCACAGCACTTGCCTGGTCCTTAAGTATGTCCAAGCAAATTTGGCCCTGGCTATTAACATTGCAGTGGTAGATGCGCGTGCGGAAGACAATCTGCGGAAGTACCGGCAGCACGTACTTTACTTTCATGAAGTCACTCATACACATTTGGGCCTCTCAGCGATAAATTACGCACTAAGGAGGCGATGGACAGCCATGGCAACTTCAGGCTGTCGTCGACTAGCTCCGCACCTTTGGTGGCTTAAATGGATAATCATGTGGAAATGTAATATCGAGGAAGAATACGCCACCGGCATAGGGCGACCCTAGGAACAGGCGTCACGGTGTTAGTTCCGGTTGGTTCATAACCTAGCGCTTAGCTAGGGGACACACCTGATGGTCCAACAATGGTCGACACCCACTCATAAATATTGTCCCCTTTTGGACCAGCAGAACAGTTGCAAGGCGGGTCAAGGCTAATCTCGGCCAGCTCCTTCTGAATCCTCTTGGCCGAGGAGGAGTGTTGGGACCCCTTCATTTTTTCCAATCCAGCAATACGGACAAAGTAGCAAACACAGGAGCCCTAAACCAAGGACAGCATAGGATTTCATGCTGCGCATTTTCAAATCAGTACGGCTTGGCCGCGTCCGTATTGGGACGGCTGTCTCACATCCGCCTGAGGTTTACGCGTCAAAACTTGCTACAGGAGATTACCAGGGCTGCGCTTATCAGTGATCATAGTATTTTCTTAATAAGAACGTGACCTTATCATATCTGTGCTCGGTGCAACGACCCGTTTAGGCGTTTAATTTTGCCAGTAGTCTTCGGCAAGGCCTCATTAAATTACTATTTAAACTACTAGTTGGGAGAAAGCAGTAAAATTTCCTGTCTACGCCAGTTCGCAAACCCCAACTTGGTTGCGCTCCTAAGCACCACGTCTTCACCACATGACCACGACACGGCTTCGCGCTTCAGCTGCGGCTTCAGCAGGAGCAGCTCAGGCCATGGCTGATGAGCAGGAGTTTCCACTTGGTCGGCGAACGTCTTCGCGTGTCGCCAGCGCAAGCAACCGGCATGCAAGTACTAAGGCCGCACCGCCTGCAACGAAAGGCAAGGGCACAGGTGCCAAGGAGCTTGGTGAAATCTCTGTAACAGCAGTGCCAAAGGGCAGTAAGCGCGTAAATCCGCAACCGGACCCCAAGGACGAGGAAGCCGCAAAACGGCCGCGTGGTCGACCTCGCAAAACCGCAGCACCCGTTGAACCCGTGCCGCAGAAGAGCTCTGAGCAAGGGCTCGAGCCTACCAATATACAGGATATTGTTAAGCCAGGACCCCAGAATGAGAAGGCAGCGGTGCGGCCGCGGGGTCGGCCACGCAAATCAGGAGCAGCAGCCGAGCCCATGCTACAGAAGGGCCCCGATCAAGATCTTGGGGCTCCCAAGGATCAACGGGACCCGCAGTCGGAAGCTGGGGTGGATCAGGCAGTGGCGCGCCCAAGGGGACGACCACGGAAATCCGCAGCAGCGGCCGAGCTCGTGCCAGAGAAGGTCAACGGGCCCCCTGTTCCCTTACAACAGCCTGCCCCAGTGCTCGATGCCTTCAAGTCCCAGCCCGAGCCTGAGCCTCCCTTGAAGCGCACTCGGCGAAGCGGCCGCTTCGCCAAAGCCGGGGTTGCATCAGCAGTGGATGCCTTGGGTCCATCCAGTCACGCCGACGATGGTTCGGCGTTTGCAGCAGCAGCTGCTGCCGTTGAAGCGCCCACTGTGGCGGCGACAATAACCGGCAAGCGTACCTCACCAACTGCACCTGCAAGCTCCCCAGTGCCGGTGGATCTTCCGCCGACAACGACAGGAGCAGCAGCAGCGCCCGCACCGGCGGTTGTACCAAACCCTTCTGTCATCCTTTCGGACCAGCTGCAGCCGCATCCGGGCAGCGTAGAATCGATGCCAGCAACGGCGCCTGCGGCAGCACCAGCCGCACCGGTTGTACCACTGGGTCCCCAGCCTCAGCAGCCTTCGATCTGCAGCTCGCCACAAAAGCGGATGCCAAGCCCCGTGAATGCGCCTGTAGCAACCGTAGACACAGCGCCGGCTGCTGCTGCCATGGCAGCTGGGTCCCCCAGAGCTGCCCCCTCGCCGCGGCCTGCACCTGGCAGTCCCAAAGCCGCAGCAACAGCAACCGTTCCGGTCGCCGCGGTGGAAGCCGTCCGGCCAAATGGGTCGCTCAGTGACGCTGAGTTTACCCAGATTCGCCGCCTGCTGATGCCGGGGGCGCTTGCCAGCACCTTGGCAAGCTGTGCCGCGGCTGCAAGCGCAGCAACGACTAATAATGGCACGGCTGCCGCCACCTCTGCTGCAACAGCAGCCGACACGTGCAGTGGTGAGGCCGCCGGCAGCGCTCCCAGTGTTGAGCCAGCGGGACGTACCGGGCAGTTCAAGGAGCTGTGCAGCCTGGTTTCCGAGTGCTGCAGCTCGGGCCGTGGTACTGCGGTGTACATCAGCGGCCTTCCTGGTGAGTACGGTGGGAAGATGTGGCATTGGGGGTTCCACGTAACTGACCGCCAGTACTGTTTCCTGTTATGGGTAGGAAGGAACTGAACCCTGATCCATTAGGTGCGATCTTGGACAAGGCTCTGGGAAGGAACTCGAATACTGTCTATGTGTAGAGGGGTTTTGGTATATGTAAGCATAACAAATCAACGCAGAGCGGCTGCAACGCGGCATGGGCCTGGGGGAAACAGAATGCCGTTGCGAAGCATTTGGGATCCAACGAGCCTGAGCGGTGCAATGCCTCCACGTCCTAATCCTCCTTACATTCCCATGCGGTGTACTGCGTGCACCATGACTCGCTTGACCTCCAGGTACAGGCAAGACGTACACCGTATCACGCCTCTTGTCAAGTTTGCCCATGATCGCCGCCTCGTGCGGTGGCGGGGTGGGGAGAGCATCCTTTTGCTGCGCCACCATCAACTGCATGACGTTAGACGACCCAGCCCAGCTCTACGGCAGGCTACAGAACGAGCTTCTACGAGCCGCAACGGCAGCTGACTCGGGTACGGCGTTTTGTTTCCTACAGCATAATGCTTGCTTTGTATGTGTTGACGCAGGAACGGTGTTGCAGCACACCTTTGAGCTTTGCCGTGAGTCACATTGAGCATGGGAAGCACCTGTGACCCGGCAAGCGCACGTAGACCTGCGTCCTTGCATAATTGGCATCTCCCGAACTTGAGTGAGCGTAACCTGAAGCCAACAGACTGATGTCACTTAACTCACCCAATGGCCGATGTCTCCTGTACCCATAACAGGCAAGAGTTGCACGCAGAACGACATCCCGGACGTTCCCACACCCACCGACGCGACAGCCGCACACGAAAGCCTCGTGGCCACGCTCTCCAAGCTTTCGCTTGTGCACTCCACAATGGTTTCTGGTGCTGCTGGCAAGGGGGTCAGGGGCGCCGCTAAGGGCAGTCGCGCCAAGAGTGCCAAGCGCGGGCGCAACGGGGCCGAGGACGCCGCTGGGCACGAGGACGAGGCGCCGATGCGCCGCGTGTTCGTGGTGGTGCTGGATGAGGTGGACCGACTGTTGCGGCGACGGGATGGCGGGGAAGAGCTGGTGCGGCTGTTCCAACTGCCTACGACCCCGGGTAAGCTCTACCTGCGAGCAGCTTTTGGTTTTTGCACTTGTATTGCATGGCATTTCGCTTTCATCTGCACCGCGTCCTTTCCCGCCTCTGTCCCACTCCATGATCTCTCGATGTTTTCCATTCGCCTCCGCAAACCCCCAGGGCTGTCGTTGGTGCTTCTGTCCGTGGCCAACAGTCTTGACCTCACGGAGCGCATGATGCCGTTGTTGAGGGTTCGGGGCATGGCGCCCAGGCACCTGGTCTTCACGGCATACAGCAGGCCCCAGGTTGGTCAGTTGGCTGCCTGTCCGGGGGGTTTAGGGTATTTCAGGGTGGTATAACGGAAGAGACGATTCGAGGGGTGTAGGGACAGGACACGGATGCTCTGGCATGGGCTATGGCAGAGTCGAACAGTTGAAAGGACACGGATACGAGTGGTAGGAGATGGGAGCCGGGTCCTGGCGCACGGGCCCGTCTCGAGTCATAGCCTTGGGCGGCCATTTGGGTGGTGGGAGCGTGCCTTTTTGCTTTTTGCCTGTCTGCCGGATTATTTTGCTGCAGCATGCCGTTGCCGCGATCCTCCTGAAGCCGTATCCTTTCACTGCGTCGGCACAGTCAGATGCCAGGATGTGTATATATATGACTATGCTCCGTTAAGCTCACATTTCACGTCCTTGGCTTTTCCAGGTTCTGGCCATTCTGTCCGCGCAGCTGAGCGCCCACCCGCGGGGGCGTCGCTGCTTCGATGATGCGGCGCTGGATATGGTTGCAAAGAGTATAAGCAGCAGCAGTGGGGACCTTCGTCAGGCGTTGAAGGTGCGTGTGAAAGTGTGCAGGTTGCCGCACAGCCCGCAGTAGAAAGGCCGAGGCTGGATCAAGGTTGGCCAGCCAGTTCGCTAGTTCCGGACAGCAGGTTTCACGCCGTGATTTCACGAGTGGATCACTTGGATCACTTGGCGAGGGTTTAGGAGAGTAGTGAAGGTTGGCTTGGCGGTTTTTAATGCTTGCACGTGTTATCGATATGTTCTCCCCAGATACGTTCTCCCGCGAATCGTGCATGGCCGCAATAGTAACAACAGGTCGCCAGCGGATCCGGCAGTCGTTCTTCCTCGTTCTTCCTCGTTCTTCGTTCCTCGTTCTTCCTCGTTCTTCGTTCCTCGTTCTTCCTCGTTCTTCCTCGTTCTTCGTTCTTCCTTGAAACGATCGCCGCGGCTTTGCCGATCGCCTGATTTTGACTCAGTTCTGTGATGCTTGAACTCTCTCACACACCCCCATGGCCACACTCCCCTTTCCAGGCCTGCCGTACCGCCCTGGATGTGTTGATGGAGCACAATCGCGCCAACCCGGCCACCGCCCGCGCATCCGTGGGCATCCGGGAGGTGCACGCTGCGCTGCAGCGGATGTCCAGCCAGGGCAACGGCCAGCCAGCAGTCGTGGCCAAGATTAAGGGCCTCCCACCGCAGCAGCAGCTGGCTCTGCTCGCACTCGCCACCGCTGTGGGCACCAAGGCGGCAGCAGCTGGCGGTGAGGGGGGTGGAGCTATGTTTCAGCCCGGTAGCGCTCTCTTCACCGGCTCCAGGCCTAAATTCGCCGACGCAGTGGCGTTTCGGGAAATCGGCAACCAGGAAGGACCGCTGCCAGCGGCGAGCAGCAACCCGGGTGCTTGCTTTGACGGTCCGACGCCGAGCAAGCCCGGCCGGCCCGGTGCCGCCGCCGCTGCCACACCGTCCGTTAGCCGCGTGCGTGGCGTAATGGGCCCGGGGGGCGCCGCTGCCTTGACACCAAGCAGCTGTGCCCGCGGCCCGCCGCCATCACGGACGCCTGCGAGCATTCTGGCGGGGGACGCGGGCCTGGCGTTAGGCCTGGCGGAGGTGTATACACAGTACGGTGCGCTGTGTCGGCAGCTGGACATTCCGGCTATGTCGGAATCGGCATTCCGTACGGACGCCCTGGTGGGGCTGGACTGCGACGGGCTGCTGCGTGTTACGGAGGGCCGCACCCCCGCGGCGACACGGCTGAGCCTGCGGGTCATGGTCCGTGATGTGAAGGCTGCATTAGCAGATAACGTCATGTTTAAGCGGCTTATGGGCGCCAAAGCGCCTCCGCCAGCGGCGGCCGCAGTTGCAGCCCCGGGCGTCGTAGTAGCTTAGGATGAGAAGTGGGTGGATGGGGTGGGTGCGTGTGCATGTGCGTGTTGGGAGATGGGGGGAAGTTGTGATGAGTTGGCCTGAGTGGTTGTTGCGGATAGGCTCATGAAGATTGGAGGATGGCTGCGAGGGTTGCTGCTGGTGAGGGAGGCGAACTGGATCAGCACGTACACGGAGAATCAAGCGTGAGCAGCATGGACTTGTCACACGGCCAGACGGTCACAGGGCGACTGCGAGGTAGGGCGACTGCGGGCTGTCTGGGCTCAAGCGCGGTGGAGTGCGAGCTGGGGCCACAGCAACAGCAGGAAGAGAAGCTTGACAACTTATGACGCGGCCGTAGAGGCCGTATCCTAGCTAGGTCAAATGCCTTGGCAGCGGTACAGGACATTCGCTCGCCACACTTCGTACAGTGTGGTCGAGCTCAACTGCCATGCAGCTACCACGTTAACTAAAATACGTTCAATAATTCTGTATTTATTGTTTGGTCCTTTCAAAATACACGCGCTTTTTGGCCGTATAGGAGGACCTTGTGTAAGATGTCATAATCGGCTGAAAGGCGCAAAGTGTATTGGCCCCAAAAGCTTAGGTATAAGTGCATTGAGGCGATAACTTTTAGTTATTTTATGTGCAGCGCCACATAAGTTAAGGTCGCTGGAAAACGGCTTGGCTGGCGCACCGGGCACTGTTTTCCAAAGGTGGGCGTGGGGCCTTGGTGAGAATTCTTTTATGGTGATGCGCATTTTCCAAATCCGACCGCGTTCGGCAGTTTTGCGTGCCGAATTGGATACTTAACAAGAAATGACGCGTAATGTCTTGTGGAATTGGTGTTTGCATTGCCAGATTACGCATGGTTTCACTTCTCCGGAGGCTTTGGTTGTATGCGGTGCACGGCTTCAAACGCGAACAGCTCATCGGGAGTGCTATGTAGCAATTCCGCAACAGACAGGTTATTCAGCAGTCAGAATGCAAGGAATGGTCATGAGGAGGAGCTCGCACCGAACAGCGCTGACGGAGGGTGTTCATGCGATGGACGGCACGCACCCGGGTGCAGCCCTCCCAATACCGGAATTAATTGCCCTGCACATGCAAGACTGATCATAGTGGCATGCAGCTGCCGTGGTAATCACCTAAGTTTCCAACAGACTCCCCGCCAGCAACACATGGAAAGGCCTGAAGCATCAGGACGTCCAGTCGCACCTTCAATCAAACTACCCCATCTGCCACGGCCGCCGGACCGGATGCCGCTCGGCGACGGGTCCCACTCCTCGAACGAAGCAACACGCCTTGACGTTCACTCCCATCCCCGTCCGCGTCCAAGCTGGCGTCGCCTTCTGGCCATCCTCGCGCTGCTCCTCACACCCTTCCTGGCCTCCGCTTCCGAAAAGCGCACCTCTCCTTCCTCCGACCTCTACTCCTCCACCACCAGTTCCCCGGCCTCCACCATCTCCATCACAGGCACACAGCTACGGCTCGAACTCGACCTGCGCCAGCTCCATCAGGCAGTTGCAAGCACTGGCTTTGTCGGCGACCCAAGCACCACCACAAGCCCCTTCCTCTCCTCCTCCGCCTCCACCACTTCTCAGTCCGCTGGCGACGCCATCCCGCTTCCCTCCTACGAGCTCCCTGGCACGCCCGCCGAACTGACTGCCTGCATTAACACCCACCAGCCCGACATCAAAGGTACCACCTGGACCGACGCTATGCGAGACCAGCCCACGTATTTCAAGGTGGTGGGCATGTGGTGGTCGCGCAAGCGCGCCGACGTGCCAGTGACCATCACCACGCAGCTGTCCTGGAACCGCAAATGGCAGCTAAAGGCTATGTGCCGGTCCTGGGCGGGTCCAATCGCGGCGGTGATGCACATGCCAGTGCTGTTGCCGCGCCTGACTCGCAGCCGTGACGCCGCGCTGGGCGATGTATCCAATGCCACGCTGCAGCGCGCAGTGAACACGGTGGCGGCCTTCCATGCGCGACTAGACGCTTCTCAGCCCTGCAAGCTGGACCTCATGCTCCTGGCGGAGCCGTACCGGGAAGGTTAGTGCGCGCTGGCTCGACCGACCTGGAGGACTTAAGAGAAGACCGTGAGGGGGAAGGTCCCCGCGAGAAGGGCGGCAGAGCGCTGTGTGGTGTGTTATGATGGAGTTACACGCACCAGCAGAAGCCATGTCCATAGCGCCCGCCACATATATGACCCCGCCCGATGTCACCTACCTGCAGGCAAGTCTCTTGTGCTGTACCCGGTTAACACGCTGCGCAACTATGCGCGGCTCATGGCCCGCACCCCTATCATCGGCCTCGTGGATGTCGACCTCATCGTGTCCAGCAGCCTCCGCTCAGAGCTGCTGAACGCCACCGCCGCGGCGACGTACGTGACGGAGGCCACTACGGCCGCAGCGGCGGCTGCTGCCGGCGAAGCCGCGCCGCTCTTTGCCACGGGGGATTCCCGTCTGGACGGCGTGCCTGCGGCGCTCGCGACGCAGCTGAATCTTTCGTTGGCGACGATCGGGCTGGAAGGGAGGCACGGCCGCAGGCAGCGCGCGGCGTGGATTCTGCCGGCGTTTGAGACTCGCAGCGGATCGGTGACCCTGCAAGTGGAGCGAGCAGAGAAGCTCGCAGCGGCGGGGAACAAGAGTAGACTGCTGCCGTATTTCCAGCACGGAAAGGTAGCCTGCGGATGTGGCGCGGCAGTGGATGTGTACGGGTGTGTGCGGGCCGTGCTGCACCCTAGATCCCACCCCCCACCACCCTCGATTCAGATATCTCCCTGTTCCTGCTGTTGCCGTCGTCCCCCAGGTCCTCCGCTTCGATTGGGGTTCTACGGGACATAAGAATACGGACTACAGCAAATGGTTTAATACGACAGAGCCGTACGTCGTGGAGTGGTCTGGTCGGTATGAACCATGGGTCGTCGTCGACCGATTGAGCTCGTCATGGGCAGACGCGCGCTTCCGCGGATACGGCAAGAACAAAATAATACATATCCGTACACTGGCGTACGAAGGGTATGAGCTCCGTGTGCATCCTTTTGCCTTCCTCATCCACCGACCGCATCTGGAGAGCAGCTCTGCGTTTGCACACGCGCGTGGTGCGCTGAACGGCAAGAAGTCCAAGGCGTCGTCCATGTACGGCCACAACGTTAATTTGTACAAATCGGTACGTCGCTGCGGCGGCGGAAGTCCCACCGCCTTTCCATGCTGGCAGTGCTGGCCAGGCAGTGTGGTCCAGGAGTGGCCATGATGACCTGTGACGATACAAACAGAAGTTTGGTCCGGTTCCGTCTTTCTCCCCCTTCCTTGACTGTCAATGGTTTGATGGCCATTATGTGTTTCTGCTGTTGCGGCTCGCATCCGGTCCCCAACCTCGGGAGTTTTTCCCTTGTGACTGATACACACTGCACTGCTATCTACCCCCCACCCAACCCGTAACTGAATTCGGACCGGGCCCGATCTCTGACATGTTTAATCTTACGGGGCTCCGGAACCACCTCCTCCCTGGCGTGTCCCACACCCACCGTTGCCCGCATGCGCACGGCCAGATCGAGGTGTCCATGGCGTACGGCAACTACACGCCCGTTGTAGACCCGGCCACGGCAGCGTGTCGCGCAACTCTCAGCTGGTGGCGACGACAAGCTAGCGGGGGCGTGCGGTGACAGCATTAGCTGTATCAGAGGAGGAGGAGGAGGAGGAGGAAGCAGAAGAAGAAGCCGCAGCAAGGTCTACGAGCTGTGGACGAAGGGTAAAACGTGGAACGGGTTGAGAACCGCCGAAGATGTGCACTGGTTCGAGCTGGGTTGAGAGTTAGGAGTTCAAGGTGGAGTGTTGAAAGTAGTGAACTCTGACAGGACTTGTTGGAAAGAAAGACGAGCGCAAAGACGAGCGTGCATGTGCGCGCGTGTGTGTGTGTGTGTGTGTGTCATTGACGGCAAATTATCCGCGCCATGTGTGTCATGATGTGTGAATTGCGTGTGCTGAGCATCTAGGTGAACGTGTCGGCGTGTAGGTGAATAAGGCGCGCATCTGTGTCACCTTTTAGAAACGGTGTACAGAAACTGCTGCTGGGTTACCGTTACCTTCACCGGGGTTCTGCGGATCCAGGCGAGCTCCAGGGAGGGAGTACAGAGAGTCGGTGACGGCAGCAGCAGCAGGAGCACAGCAGGGGCTACGTAGGAGGAGCGGGCGCAGGGGGGTTATGTAGCGCAGGAGAGCTCTGCGCTCAGCTTTTTTGAGTGAGGGAAGGCACTTGTTGAAGTGCCCGGAAGGAAATGCTGGATGGTGGAACGATGGCATGATGGCAGTTCGGAATAATAATTGCAGGATCGTGTGAACGAGAGGACGATGGTGAGGTATGTGAGTCTGTGTGTATATGTGGTGTGTTTGTGTGTTCGTTCCGACAGCGTGCACGTTTGCATTGGTGTCTGCCAGGCCGGCCCGGTGCGCGGCCTGGCTGGCGGGCGACCCGCTCTGGCAGCCTCTGCAACCCAACTACCCCGCGTATCGATATCAATCCGCGACGTACCGACGAGGAATGCGATGATGGACTGATCTATTGCCGTCATTTTTCCTGTAATTCAACCAAACCGCTTTTTAGTTCCAATGCTGGTGGACCGTCGCCTGGAGCATAAGTGTTGAGCTAGCGCTGTTTTTTTGGGGGGGTGAGGGGGGAAACGGCCGAGGGGCTAAGCAGAGACACACAATTACACGCATGCATACAGGATGTGCGTGTGCAGGATGCGAACGAGTATGTGCAGGATGATGTTCATCACCTGTTGGGAAATGGACTCAGTACTCGGGGTGCTTTAGGTTTGGACATCGCGGCACCCCCGTTGGTCCTTGATCGCCCGCTGTATTGCATACAGTGTTTGGGCGCAGGATGCACCGTTGCCCCACTCTGGACGTGGACCTGCTGTAATGAAAACAATCTTTCATCAATCTTTTGTTGCATTTCCTCCCTAAGCAATATGGACGGAGAACAAGGTTGCTAAAACCAGGCGAGCGGTTGGCAGTAATATGCGACACGCCGGTTGGACGAGCTGCTGGGGCAGCTGGCTAACGCTGCTGCGGCGGTTGGAGACCACACGCTCGCTGACAAGATTCGTGAAGCTACCAACACCATCCGACGAGACATCATGTTTGCCGCGTCGCTGTACATCTGAACTGAACGCGAGTCGGACCCGAACCGTTGACGAACGTACAGAAAACGCATGGCGAGTATGTACAGATAGTGCTTTCGCCATGCGCGTTGGTTCTCTTAGTTGGGGGTGCGTGGTGGGCCTTGTATGATGTGTGAAACAGGGGGGTGTATCTTCGCCCGTGGCAGCTACCCTGCGAAACCCTGCCTTCCACGGTATTTCGGGGCACCCTCATCCAGTCACCCTAGTTAACTTCTCAGTGGATCGCTCAGGTTCCGCACCCACCACCAGCATCCCATGGAATCTGCCAGGTCGACAGCGGCCCAACTCCATTCCTGGTCGGCTCGCAGGTTAACTTTATCCCAGGTCACCACCGTCCATCATCTAGGGGCGCAATGCCTTCCACTATCGGAAGGACTTTTGACCATAATGGGTATCGATCCCGGGATCTCCCGGGGGCAATGGTCGCGCCTCACCAGTAGTGCCAAACCCTTGTATATATGGGGGCGGTGCACTGCAGGCCTGGGAGGGTGGGTGAGCAGGTGAGCAGGAGGGCTGACGGTGCTTCGTTTTAAAGTGTTTACAGGTATTCGTGCACTGAGCTGACACAACATACCCCGTGTTGTAGCGCGATAGCTACACAGTAACGATGAGCTTATCACGAAATATGCGAATCAATTATGATCATGAAATCTTCTGAAAACTGACCTGGCTGTCAAGAATCGTTTGTAAGAATTCACTGGAACTGAACATCATGAATCTGTACGACAGCCTTACCGAAATCCATAAATCTACTGAAATCGTCTTTGCTCACAGAACGGACGTGGGTTCTTTTAGAATTCATATTCTACTCACGTTCGGAGCGCGGTCTTATACCGTGGTCGGGGCAGTGCCGGCCTGAGACATACTTCACGGGCCAGTAGCACTGCACTACACTACAACACCCCGTGATGCACCAGGTGCTCGTTAGCCTGATGGGGAATGCGAAGGGGTTTGCGACACCTGGTATCGCCGTTGCAGAGGCTCCTGACACAAGCACACAATCGACATCTGCGTGAGTTCGTCAGTGCCCACGTGTTTTGTTGGGCTTACCGTTGGACAGGGTCCATAGCGGTTGGATGGTCTACCCCTGGACGGATCTGTGGATGGATGGTTCCAGGGGCTCGACTGACCAAGCCAGGCAAGGACCCCCGCTTCAGTTTAAGATGAGTGGCTCACACTGACATCAGGCTTGGAGGCATCTATTCAAACCCACGTGAGTCCGGGCTTTCTAAGTCCCAATCCGATGAACCTGGCATGTGCACCTATAGAATTTGAATTACCTGCATCTTGATGTCCAAACCATGTCGGGCATTTGAGCAACCCTTGCTGAGTTGGCTGCGTGTGTTGGCTGCGTGGCTGGGCTGGTCTGGATGATATAAATCCTAAGAAATTGTACGACATTAATCCTTGAAATTCCTGAACATACTGAAAATTGTTATTGCTTACAGCAATCAAAGTTAAGAGTTCATACTAAACCCACGATCGGAACACGTTTCTATACCGTGACCGGGGGAGTGCCGGCCTCAGACAGACTTTACTTTCCTACTCTCAATGCCTTTGCTACAACAGGGTGGGTGGGCGAAACGGCCTCCGTAGTTTGGGAGACGGGTTTCGGAAGTGCCTGCCCTCGATAAGGTCTGGTCTGGTCTGGTCTAGTCTGGTGGTCTGGTCTGGTGGTCTGGTCTGGTCTAGTCTGGTCTGGTCTAGTCTGGTGGTCTGGTGTGGTGGTCTGGTGTGGTGGTCTGGTGTGGTGGTCTGGTGTGGTGGTCTGGTGTGGTGGTCTGGTGTGGTGGTCTGGTGTGGTGGTCTGGTGTGGTGGTCTGGTGTGGTGGTCTGGTGTGGTGGTCTGGTGCGGTGGTCTGGTGTGGTGGTCTGGTGTGGTGGTCTGGTGTGGTGGTCTGGTGTGGTGGTCTGGTGTGGTGGTCTGGTGTGGTGGTCTGGTGTGGTGGTCTGGTGTGGTGGTCTGGTGTGGTGGTCTGGTGTGGTGGTCTGGTGTGGTCTGGTGTCGCCTTCGTGTATGTGGAGGTTCCGGGTTCGATTTCTGGTCAGACCCCCGACATTGTCCGGGAGGTCTAGGTTTACTAACGCTGCTGAGGTGTGGAGATGAGGTCTAGTTGATGGACTAAGTTTCGCATGCTGAGATGGTGGTGGTGGCTGATCTGTCTCTACGGATGTTGGGTCTAGTTGGCAGGACCCAAACCGCCGTCCGTCGTACGGTGTAATCAACTTTCAATATATATAGTCCATGGCCTCCCGGCTTTGACGGACCCCCCCGCACTCGTGCGGCACTTGTAACTTCTAACTTGTTAAGGAGCACGATGATAAATTGATAATGCTATTGAGGTAGGTTCGTGGAGGAAGAGATGTCACAAATGCGCCTGGTCCGCATGTCCAAATGTGTTTGTGCGTTTGTGTGGGGGTGGGTGGGTGGGTGGGTGCGTATGCATGTAAAAACCGCGTGTGCGCGTGGAGTGTGCGACTGGGGTTGTGGAGCGAGACAAGTTCCGCTGTGCATTTCCTTACACCGAATCCACGTGCATGCGCTAATCGCCTGCCCATTGTGCTCCCTGCCTTTGCAGTCCATTACTGTGTGGTGTCGGTGTTGGTATCGATGTTGGATGGATCCTGAATGACTTAACTGGGTAATAATTGTCCGTGGCTTGCCCATACGACAAAAGAGCAGGGGAAGCGCTTTTGCATTGGGTAAGGAGCGTGTCTTGATGGACAGCGGTTCAAAGCAAGAGCTATAATAGCTCTTGCACCGGTACCAATAATTGGTACCGGTGAGTGCGCAGGATTTGAACAACATCTAAATCCTCTAAATCCTCTCTTTTAAACCTTATGTCAACCGCATTCTTTCCAAAACGAAATGGCAAGCAGCGGGCAGCGAGGCAGCTTGCCATCGCGCCGACACTACTCACACGTCTGGGAATTATTGTTGTAAACAATAACCAACTCCCCAGCATATTTTCAGTACGCATCAGTTGGCAACAATCTCAACCCGGCTCGGTGGCATGCATTTCGTGATGCGTGATTACTAATTGCCCTAGCTTGCTTGCGATGGTGTACGTTTGTTTTTTGAAAACAATAGGCCTTTTTGATTGAGCATGGACGTGTCATCCTTAACTCGCCTGCAGCAGAGGACCATAGGAGGTTAATGCCAGGTTCCATCCTGAACGCAGTAAAGATATAGTCACAAGTTAAGTAAAGCATAAGTTATAAATGTAAGGTAGCGTGCCATGTGTTGATATGCAGTACATTAGGAAAAAGGGACATCATAGCTACTGTGCTGTTGGTCATAACAGCGGGCAGCTTTCTACTTTTAGTTTCAGAAGCTCGCCATGAGATATCGATAATCATCCACTGTTTAACTTTAAGGCATCTGGGGCTGGGCATATCCCATCTGAGGACCAGAAGGGACCTTCCAGTACCGGTACTGTACAAACCCCTTGCTCTGTCCAACACATAGTTATGTATCAGACCAAAATGCTGCAATAAAATTATAAGGTCTAAGATTAGTAATTTCTCATGACGGCATACACGCCTCAATCCTCACCCGCTCCGTTCAGGCAAACCTCCCGACGATTTCATACATGTCTGTATAACATGACAATTTTTTCAAGCAGCTCCTTAATCCAAATAGATATCTATCTTCAGCTAGCTATCTCCTCAAGGGCGAGTGATGTATATCATGGCGCATCCTTTGGCTCGGCGTACTGCTGAGTTCCGTCCGGTTGAAATACATCTATGGGAGGCCCTGGGATAAGCAGGAAAATTTGGACCTGACGGCAAGCAGGCAGGGTTGGACCTGGCGAACCGACAAACTTCTCAGGTAAAAACTGTGGAAGCGAATCTGTGAGACTATTGGACAAAGGCAAGGGCGTGTGAAAGCAACGGTGCACCATTATCATAATTCACCGGGATAGTATCAACTTTGTTACTGTTGGCTTTCGTTTTGCGGCCACGGCTTCCAAGCATTGGGGCCATACGAAAGCGTGCTAACTTTTAAACACACGGAAACATTGTCGTTAGGACGCTAGTCGAAAGCTGTTGGACGCCGCGGGCCCACAAATTTGCATTTTGTGAATGGCACGTTCGAGTCTTGTCTCCTCAGCATTACGGATTCCAGCAAAAGTACCTGTAATGCTTAATCCCATTCTTCCTTGTATGACTGAGAGTTTTATTATAAACAACGTCATCACTGGTGCTGGGTTCCAACGCCATGGCAGCCATGACCACGTGAGCCAAACCTGGCCGCATCTGGCACTGAAAACCTTTCAAGCTTCAGAATGAACCAATTCTAGCTTTCTTTCCGTCCTCGTGCACCCACCTGGCTCCTTGCACATTCACCTTCATCCCCTACCTAGCCCCCAACTCCTGCATCCTCGCCCCCTATCGACCGGCACGCGGCTAACCCGCAGTCCTTGCTGTTCCTTGTCCTTTCCTCTGCAGCCGCGTGGGGACGACATCCCGTTCAAACTTTTTTGCATTTTTGTTACGGCCTCAAAGAGGGGACGAGGACAGGGCGACACCTCGCCTCCGGGCCTGGACACACAGCCAGCCAGCAGGAGGGCACCCCTAAGGGGTAGCGGGGGAGGTACAACTACGGCCTGACAGATATACAGGCATATCCCTACTACTGCTGCCACTTCCGCCTACAATCGAAACAGCAGTCCCTATACACGGCTCAGGGCCGCCGGCCAGCCTGGTAGCGGCCAGGAAATACCAACCTCTGCGGCAGCAACAGTAGCAGCAGCAGCAGTAGTAGTAGTAGCACTACAACAATAACAGCCGGTAGTGACGGAAGGTGTCGGACCAAGCGGACAAGGCACCAAAACACGCCCCGCAGCTATTACAGATGTATGCGGCGCCTGGGGTAGAGGGCCTTATGGTCCTGGGTTTAACGGACACTCCTGTCGCCATCAGTGGCGCAGAAGCAGCCTCAGCTGCAGCCGCAGGGCCCTGCACCTCCCTCGCGCCTCTTGTCCCCCAGCCATTGTGGAGCCGCAGAGGCACCCCAGCTACCCCCCAACCCTACAATCGCGCCCTCCACTCCCAGAGGGGCTCCATCTGCCTCAGTTCGGGTTCGGCTTCAACATTGACCTCCGGGGGCTCGCGACCCGAGTCAGGATGCTGGCAGCAGCAGCAGCAGCAGCAGCAAGTGCACAACAATCACGGTCATCCTCACAATCAGCTGTACGACGCCACGCCAATGTCACCGCGGCGGAACGACCTCGCAGCGTCACCGGCGTCGCAGATGAGCCGTCGCGGCTCCGCCGCTGGCGGCGGCAGGCCGCCGCCGTCGACGCCGCCGTTGGCGCTCAAGGTGCTGCTGCCCGGCTCCAGCGGCGACTTCAGCGACGCTGCCGATGCCGTTGCCGATGTGCTCGGTAGCAGCAGCTTGGGTTGTGGCGGCGGCGGCGGCGGCGGCAGCGCCGCTGTGATGTCGAGCGCTCCTCCTCTCCATCACCCCCACATTAACCACCAGCCGCTGCCGTCCCTGGTGCCCGATGGCGACGACGACTTCAATCAGGACCCACAGCAGCTCTTGCTGCTAGCCCGCCCGCCGCCCAGTGCCTCCCGCAGCCGCAGCCGAGCTCCGGGCTCCCCTCACCCTCAGGGGCCCCTCAACCACCAAAACCACCACCACCAGCATCAACAGAACCAACCAGAGCCGACCAGTTGGGGGCTGGGATTGGAGGCGGTGAGGTCAACGGGGTCAAGGACGGGGACAGCCGGGGCTGGAATGGGCTTACTTTCCTCCCGCTTGCCTAGCAGTGGTTGTGGTAGCACCAGCACCAGCAACGCACCCCCCGGGACCGAGCCACGGGGAATGCAGCTGCCCAGCACTCCCAGCGGCAGCTGCAGGTCAGTCCCAGATCGCAGCCTTCGAGTGGGTTCTTCTGAGGCAACCCAGCAGCAGCAGCCGCAGCGATCGTCCTCGCTCTTGGGTAGCAGGGGCGCCGCGTTGGGGGTTGAAGCTGGCGGCGGTGCAGCAGCCACAGCCGCTGGTGTTGCTCCTGCAGTGCTGGCGGCAGCGGAACCGCGAGTCAGCTCGTCGTCGTACAAGTCCCAGATGCGGCGGCTGCAAGGGGCGGTTTCGGCGCTGGGCGGTGGCGGTGTGGAGGATGGCTGTCTGGGGGACGACAATTTCGATGGCGCGGGGAACGCGGAGGATGACGGTGGCAATGCAGGCGGTTGTTGCGGGGCCGGTGCACAGCGGCTCACGCAGCTGCGGGAGCAGTCAAGTGGCGGAAGCTCGTTGGACGATGCGGCGCCGCCGCGGCGGGCTGGAACTACCGCCTGGGGACCCTTAGCGGAGAGCGCACCAGGTGTGTGAGCTGTTCGTGTCCCCATCGCCCCATGGGGCAGCGCTGTAGCAGCGTGGTGCGTTATTACAACACCCGCCTTGCTGTGTGCGCGTTGTGTTGGTGATCATGAACTGCGCAACCCCGGGCGCGTGCGCGCATTGCCGCCGCCCTGGCGTGACAGCACACGCGTACACAGGCGCACACTCACACATGGCATCCTTGTGTTTTGTCGTACGCCATGTTCCTAGTTCCAGTCCCCTAACACCTGCTAGACCCACATCTGCACCCGGCGGCTGTCCCGTTGCGCTGTTGGGGCTCCTCCTTCTCTTCTCCTACCCTCCCAGGCAGCCTGGGGCCCGGGGGGAGCTTCGCCGACGTCTTTGGCGGTCACGTTGCCTCCGGACCACTTTCCTCACCCTCCTCGCGCACTGCGAAACCCGCTACAGCAAGTAATGGCACCGGGACTGGCACCAGCATCGGCTACTCCCGGCGGTGTGAGGATCTGCCCGCTGCGCCGTTCCCCGCGCACTCACGCAGCCTGGGCAGCTGCAGCGGCGGTGGCGGTGGTGGCAGCACCGGCAGCAGCACCCCCGCCACGGCCGGCGGCCAGGCAACCGGCGGCGTTGGCGCTGGTGGCGGCGGCGGCAGCGCCTTCGCCCAGGTTGCACTCGCCTGGCAGCCCAGCAGCAACTCCTCGGCCTGCTTCGCCTCCTCGGTCTCCGCGGGGTTTTCACGGCGGCTGGAGGACTTGCCCGCGGCACCCAGTCCTTCCAACTCGCGCAGCCTGACGAGGGGCGGCGGCCGCAGCAGCATGCCTGCCAGTCCTGCTGCTAGTGGCGGCGGCGCGACCCCGCCACAACATCTCCAAATGCAGCAGCAGCAGCAACAACAGCAACAACAATACCATCAACAGCACACGGCCACTGCCTGGAGTAATGCTGCAAGCGGTAGCACGTCTCTGACCCTGCATCCGCTGGGCGACGTAGCGCCCGCAGCAAGCAGCTCCCCTGTGCAGCCTCCGCAGCCCTCGGTCCTCCGCTGGCCCTTGGGCTCTGCTGCGGCAGCCATCTCCGCCTCCGGCACCGCGTCCCCATATCAGGAGGTTAGCGCGCCGCCCCTGCAGCCGCATCCTCCCTCCACCACAAGTATGACCATCCACAGCACCGGCAGCAGTCGTAGCGTCGGCCTCGCAGTTGCCGTGGGTGCTCTTTTGCCGGCCAATCCGTCAATACGACCATCGCCTGCAGCAGCAGAAGCCGCGACGACGGCCACGAAGGCGACTGCTCCGAAACCGCCGCCGCTGCAGCGTCTGCCTAGCCAGAGCATTGGCTTTTCGCGGCGTCCTGAGGACTTGCCCGCGGCACCTAGTCCCTTCAACTCGCGTAGCCTGGCGAGGGGCTGCGGCGGGTGCAGCAGCAGCAGCAGCGGCGGCGGCGGCGGCGGCGGCGGTACCAACAGCACGCCGGCCAGCTGGTGCAGCCCACGCACGCCGCCGTCGCCGGCCGCATCCGACGCTGCCGGTCGCTCAGGGTATTCGCGGCGGCTGGAAGATTTGCCGGCGGCCCCCTCTCCGGGTCAATCTCGGAGCCTACGACCGGATTCATCGCGGGCCGTGTTTCGCAGCCACGCGAGCGGCCCGGCCAAGGGCTCCGTTACCTCGCCTGTACCGCCGGCGCCGGGGGCTTGGGGCCAGCCTATCGGCGGTGGCGGCGGCGGCGGCGGCTTGGTATTAAGTCTTGGCTCGCCGTCTCCAGTGGCGACATCATCGTCGCCGTTGTCGTGCGGCGCAGCGAGCAGCGGCCAGCCGCTGCCGCGGCAGCATCAGCATCAGCAGCGGGGCTTGCAGGCGGATGGGAGTACCGATGACGTCATCGACTTGCCCGTAGTGCAAGGCGACATCAAGTAGGATGTGTACCACTACTGAGGACTGCGGGACTACTGAGGACGGCGCGGCCTGGGGGTGCCTGGGGGTGTGAAGGAGGGGCTGGGGGAAGGGGCCCCCAGCTGTCACGCGCTGTGTGTATTATCGAAGTTAAAAGCGGCACACCACACACCACACCAGACACCACACCACACACCACACACTACATTGCACGAGTAATGAGGACGATGGACGATGTTGCTAAGGTATGCGGCCAGCAGCTCGGACATTACGACCGCCGATTGATTTGGCCAGCGGCCCAGTGGCCCAGTGCCCTAGCGGCCGGGGGGAGCTAATGGAGCTAGCAATGGAGATGTTACGTTGGATGGATGAGGTGGGCAACGAGGAGCCGTTCAGAATTTTCTCGTCCAGCCGTCGCCCCCGTAGTTGCCACTTGGCCACTTGGCACAACTGTACCACCGTCGCCATCAGGGTTCTTCACCAGGGTAACCAAATATTTCGGTCGTGCCCGAAACCCTCTGAATAACCTGTCGGGGCCCTCCCCGAAAATTTCCTTGTCAGGCTGACAGGTTTTTCGGGTACCCCGAAACTGTCTGAAGCGGTTTTCGGGGTAAAGCTTAGCTGGATTCTATCGTAGTATGCTAGGACGGCTGAATTAACAGGTGTTTGACTTTATCTTGGAACGTGGCGCCAGCTCTTATCACAAGGGGTTTGCATATCATATCCACGGTTGGACCGAGTAATCCAACACGCATAAGGGAATCATTGGACGGGACAGACAGCCGGTTACGCAGTCTGTTCCGCCTGTCCTTGGTAATGCGGTGGACACGAAAGCCACGCTCCACAAACATCATCAGCTGACTGGGGCATGTTTGATAATGGATATGCTTAGATGTATGAAAGTGTGTGCGATACAGCCGCAATGCACATTCGCACTTGTTGTTTGACTGGTGACCAAGCGGACTTTATACTGCAAGCCCGGTTTCCAGGCCCCTTCTGCGCCCGAAAACATCCAAATTTACGCTTGAATATCGTTCGGTTTTCTCCGAAAATGCCTTCGGGAGGCTTCGGTGGGGGCCCCGAAGAAATGCTCTTAAAGGCCCAAAAATCCTTCGGGATGCTCCGGGGCGCACTAATTTTTCTTTCGGGCAAAACGCAAAAATCTCAAAAATGTTCGGGCCCGAATCGGGGTGAAGAACCCTGGTCGCCATCAAGATCAACAAAGAACAGCGTACAGTGCGAGCTAAGGCTCCTTTGTTGCCGTTCAGGCTTTACCTTACCACTGCTTAGTCGCCTCCGCCTTCTCGGTACAGCCCACCCTCCATAACACGGCTCCATAATGTCGCTGAGTGCGGTGTGCGGCCGCAGCCGCATTATGTATTACCTACCTGCAGTACCCAATGTACGGCACTCTTGAGTCGTTTATGAAGCGCGCTCGCAGCGCTCTGCTTGGACAGGAAGGGTGGGGGGAAGGACCCTGCGGCAGCAGCAGCAGCAGCTTCTTTCTGGACTCTGTTGTGTGTATGTTTGTATATCTGTGTGTTTGAATGGGCACATTTGATCGCACATATGATGGTATCTGTCTCCCTCTCTCCCTCTCTTTCTTCCCCTCTTTCTTTCGCTCTCTTTTGGTTTGTTGTTGAAAGCCGAGAAGGCTGTAACGGGAAGAGAAGATGGCTGATGATGCAACCGTCTGCCTGATCGGTCTGCCTGCCAATCAGTCCTATGTCTGTCTGTCTGTCTGTCTCTGTATGCAGCCCGCCGTCTATTTGCATATGTAGAAGCTGCATGTATTTCTGTCTGTAGGGAACTGAGCTCAGCAGGTAGATGAAGGCTCAGATGCATGATTATGCCTGTATGATGTATTCCTGTATATATGTACGTACGTATGTATGTATATATGTATGTATGTATGTATGTATGTATGTATGTATGTATGTATGTATGTATGTATGTATGTATGCGTCATAACGCCTGAAATAGTAAAGTTTTGTGTATGTGCCGTGGAGCTGCCGAGAAGCAGCAGAAATAGCAGCAGCAGGGTGCCGTCAGAGCGGCATTGTGGGATCCTACCTTGTGTGGCATGGCGGGAGGGGGGCGGAGGAGGCCCGGATGGAGGGACGGGGTGCTTGGGGACCGCAATTGCGTGCGAGATGCCTTGGGGACCTTGACAATGTAAGTCAATTCGATGAAGTCCAATTACATTGACTTGGTCGGAGGGGAGCGAGTGGAGGCGTCCTACGTCTGAAGGAAGTTTTCTCCTACTGGCGAACAGCAAAATTCGGGTTGGCGGTCCCCCTCGCCCCCAAGAGGTTTGCGGGCGCTCTTTCTCTCTTCTGCCGGTGCTACATGCTTGGTCTGACTACTGGTGTATGTACGTATGTATGCATGTATGCATTTTGTATTTCCCTGCTGCCGTAGTTAAATGGGACAGCAGCTGAAAGGATCTACTGGGAATGCTCAGCGGTTCTATCGTAGGTGGGTATGGTGGGTATGGTGGGTATGGTGGGTTGTAGGGTGGTAGTGATGGTCGTGGTGGCGCTTGGGGGGGGGAGTTGTGAGGGACGGGAAAGGACCAAAGCTGGCTGTTGAGATTTGAGGGGCAGCTGGCTGTTGCGCTTTAAGAACCCAACCAACATCCAACAACCAATATCCACCACCACTGCAGTGCGCTGCAAAGTAACGGAAGAGGGGCAGGTGGGATAATACTGGTTCGCGGCTGCTGCGCAATATCAACCTACCTACCTATCAACCTGCCTACCTATCAACCTACCTACCTACCTAGATACATACATGTGTGCTGCCAGTGTGCTGCCAGTGATCTCCTCCTTGCTGTGGGGGAGAGGTGGCGCCCTGCTGGCGCCCTGATGTGGATGGACCGACTGAACTCGACTCGTCTCGTCACCTCTCGTGACAGCGGAACTCATTAGAGAAATTAACGCTTACACACACACACACACACATGGGGTTTTACCCGTCCCTTTGGGGCTTTGAAGGCGGGGAGGGGAATATGCCGGAGGTCGCTCGTTGTGAAGTGTGCGGCTCGGCCTGCTAGCTGCTAGATGGAGCGCTCTTTTGTTGGCGGTTGATGTGTCTGGTGGTCAGCTAAGCTGCATGCATGTGTGTATGTATGTGCGGGTGGGGTAGAGGATGGTGGAGCGGGGAGGGGTCGAGGGGCCCCCCGTTCGAATGCGCCTATTGCAGGATGGACGGAGCGAGGGGGAGAGAGAGAGAGAGCGCCCCACGCCCTTCACATTTTTATGTTTGCTTGATATGCAGGTATGACAGTACCGAGTAACACCGGTGCACCGGTAGCATCGCACAGCGGTTTGGGGCCTTGGATTTTCCCAACGCGTATGTGTGCCTACGCGTGTTTGTACATGTGTGTCGCGGTCTGATGTCTCATGGGCGGACTGAGTTGCGGCCTGTCGGCAATGCGCCCTCGGTTGCAGGAGAAACAATGTCCCCAGGAGATGGGAGCGCGTTGCGGACCCTGCAATGATATTTATTTCTGTCCGTCATTCCGAGAAACACGTAAACAAGTAACTCCACAGACGCGGACATACAGACACAGGAACACGCACATACACGCACGCACGGACATACAGACACATGGGCACACACACACACATGGACATATAGGTACGCATACACAGGCACACGGGCATATACGCACACCGATTCTAAGGCCAAACGGAATGAGCTCAGTGATCTTGTGGCTGAGTGGTCTTGGAGGGTGGGTCTCAAAATGTCTCCTGCGGTGAAGCTCACAAATCGCCATGCAGTGCTACCCAACGAGTCAACGGTGCCGTACACTTTGGCCGCTGAGAAGTGCGGTAGGAACGTAATGCTGCTAATGCCGTTAACAGTTATCATGGTGAGATAAGAAAGGTGTTTTCGTGACAATCCTCTCACTGTAACAACGTCTTAAGCTATAATATCCTTCCGATTACGGCCACACCGGTTTGGGAGCTTCTGCGTCTTCGACATTATCGCATCAGCTTAACTAACTAATCCTTGTTTCCATTACTATAACTTATCATGTCACATCGACAACTGCTTCGTAGTGCCTGTCGTGCGCTCGCCGAGTGTCAAACCTCTATGCGCTCAGCTGCAAGCAGTAATCACAGCACCGCTTCTACAGTAGCGCGATCATCGCTGGGGAGGCTAAAATGTAGCGCAGCTCCGATCAGCAGTTTTGCATCATGCAGCGTGATGCGTAGTTTTCAACAAAGCAGCTTGCAGGTGTATACGCGCACATGTGCTATCAAAAATTGTGCAATCATAAAGCTGTGCATTTGGAAGCCCACCTGCGACTTCTATTTTGCCCCTCCTAAAGGTGTCGGCGATGGCCACTTCGTTGCCAATGGGCTTCGCAGCGTCCGTGCCATCCCTATGCTCTCCGCTTACAGCATCCACGACCCAGGTGGGTCTAAAGGCCTGGGTACACCAGCCAATCCTACGCTTCAATCCGCTGCTGTTGACAAAGCCCACCTGCTCGGCCCTGCAGAGCCGGGGAATCGCAAGCACAGGGACCGCACTTGAAGGCGAAGGAGAAGACGAGGTACGCTCTCCTGAACGCAGACCAACTCTCCCCTAAGTAACCGTATCAACCACCCATCGCCGCGCTCCGATGACACATGCACATATACATACACGTGCAAAAACACGCCACGCGCGCCCGCAAACCTACGAACCCCTTCTCCAGTCCATCTTCCCGCGCCTGCATGCTCGCCTTATGCGCTCTGGCTCTCTGCATCAACGGCACCTAGCTTAGCGTTTTGAACTGCTCTCAGCTCTTCAGCTGCGGTCGGCCGCCCAATGGCGGCGGCCACACACACACACACACACACACACACACACACACACACACACACACACACACACACACGCACACACCTGCAAAACCGCAACTCTTACAACAACAAAATCCTACACAGGAACCCACCTATTTACGGCCTTTGGCCGGCTCGCAGACGTCCCTCACATCAGCGTCGCCATCGCCCGAGGACGAGCCTCCAGACCTCCTAGCGGTGAGTAATTTCAGGAAATGGACTTGTTGTAATTGAAGGATGCGGGGGTGTGAGCGGGGGTGGTGCAAGGCGAATAGGATTTCCTGTAGTTGGGGATTTGGGTTCTGATGGGTTTCGTGGTGGGCATCGCGGGATGATGCGGCATGGTTGTAACCGTACGGTACGGCTAGTTGTACTGTACTGCCATCGCTTCAGGACCCACATCGAGGACACGACATGGACGCGACGTGTGCTAACAGCACACAGTACATACATACATACGCTGTACCGTATCGCTGACAGCACCACCTTAACGTGTGTGAACCTCCCACCCGCCTGCCCTCCATTTGCACGGAGAGCTCACCTCTGACCGACCTTCGCCTCTGTGGCCTCCTCAGACGCGCTCGCGTGCTTTTGCGCGCGCTCCCGCGATGCCGTAGCCGCTGGCCTTGATGCACGTGCTGCTGCCTCTTCCCTTCCTTTGATTGTTGACTTTAAATTTTGCCTTCAGGGGCTGAGGACGCCGCCAAACGCTGCCCGGCGCGGTGCTGAGGGCCCCCGGGGACCACCTGTGAGTGCCCCAGAGCAGCGATGTGCGAGTGGGTTGGCGTGTGTGTGTGTGTATATATGTGTGTGTATATGTGTGTGTGTATATGTGTGTGTGTATATGTGTGTGTGTGTGTGGGCGCGCGTTTGAGTGTGGAGCCCTTTGTGCCATTGTGCGTAGAGACCCAATACACAAGGGGTATTGGTATTGTATTGGGCTCCCTCTTCCCTTCCCATGGCCTCCTCCGGCCCTGTCTCGGCCCTGTCTCCGCAGCCTCTTACCTTCTCTGCTGCAGCTGACCTGCCCTTGCTGTCCCGGCCTTCATGACGAGCTGCCCTCGCTCTGGACTCCGGACTCTGGCTGTGTGTGTATGTGTGTATGTGGTTTGTGTGTGGTTTGTTTACTGCAGCAGTCCTTCGGTCCCCGGGGGGATGACAGCGCCTTGGGATCGGAGCTGGTGGCGACGGCCCGCGAGGTATTCACCAGGTGAGGTATGCGGATATGTGGATGTGGAGCCGGAACGGGTGGGTGGGGGCTCTGCGTGTTTGGGGGCCGTCCTCCATGGTGTGCATGTCGTACTGTAGGAAATAAACCTCTTTTAACCTGCCCAACACGCCCACACCCACCCGCACCTGATCCGCCCGACCCAACCCAACCCAAGTCAAGTCATCTTACCACCCCTCCCGGCTGATGTGTGTGTGTGTATTTTTTATTTCTCCGGACCACAGGCAGCCTGAATCTGCCCGGGGTCCGTTGCCGTCTCTACCCCGGGAGATTCGGGAGGCGCTGTACGGCCACCGTTGGGATCGTGTGTTGGTGGATGTACGGCGGTCGGTTGAGCGGAGGCCATTACCCGGGGGCAAGGAGGAGGTGTACACGGCCATGGTGGCGACGGGGAACATGGCGGTGAGAGGCGGGGGGGCCCGTCACCTTCCCGGGGTGGGGAAGAGGGGTTTGGGGTGTCTCCCTGTCCCTTAGTTGTCAAACCGCGTACCCAACAACCCTTCCTTCCCCCCCCAATACGCGTAACCTTGGAAAAACGGTTATGTATGTATGTATGTAAGTATTGTCATTTTCCTTTCCACTTTCCCATGTCTCCTTCCCTTTTCCCCGCTTCTCTCCTCCCCTCCTTTCCCACCGCAGGGTATCTTTGGTTTGGGTTTGGGGGTGGCGGACACGGCCCAGCTGGCTGTTGCTCGAGCCCACCTGGACAGCTTCTCCCGCCTGACTGCCGTACCGCTGTACCGCGGACACACCATTTACCACCAGCTCGAACACAGCTACCACAGAATGAAGGCAGGTGGTGGCAGGAGGGGGGAGCATGGTGCGCCACCTGGCTGAAACGTCATTCGGCATTTTGCAGGCCGCCCAACCATGGGCTCTTGCCGTCCCGCACCTCACCCCCTCCCCCCAACCAACCAATCTTGCCCTGGCAGCAGCTTCAATCGTGTGTGGTTCGTCTTTCCCCCCCCCTACCCCCAACCTTACTTCAGCCCTCTGCATACCTTTCTCTCCCCTACCCCTGGCCTCAAGTCCCCCGTCAACCTTCCCTTACTCCGCTCCTCCTGTCCTGTCGGTTGTACGCTGGCTGCATCTTACCAATCCAGCCAACGACAGCCCCGCCGGGTTCCCCAGACTATTGCGGGGCCATTTGCGTCATTGCGTTGATCTCCGCGGTCGGGTGTGGTTTGGACGTATCTATCTATCTATCTATCTATCTATCTATCTATCTATCCATCCATCTATCTGTCTATCTATCTGTTGTTGCTTCGTTGCATTTTGCATTCTGTGTTTCCTGGTTTCATTTCCCACTCCAAACTCCCCGACCCCCCACCCCCTCTCACCCCCTCCCCCTCCCACCCCACCCAGATTCTGTTGATGCCCCGCCCCGAGGGCTGGGGTCTCCGCTGCAGTGACCTCATGTACGAGCTGTGCAATGTGGTTGGGCTGAGGAATGTGTCCATTCGGTTGAGAGGCCGGGTGAAGAACAAGTTCTATGTGGCGCAGGTGCGGGAGTTCGGGGGGCCGTTTAGGGTTGTGAGGCGGTGAGGGGTTGAGTATTGAGGGCGGCGTGTGTGGTGTGTGTCTGTGTGTGTGTGGAGAGGAGCTGACACGCGCACAAACGCGGACACGGACCTCCTGTTGACGAGGATGGCGACTCCGCGGAGAGGGGAGGGCAGGAGAGGGGAGGGCAGGAGAGGGTGCCCTCCTAGTATCCAGAACCTCGTCGACCCCTCTTAGGACGCCGGCTGTTGTTTCTTTTTGACTTTTGCATCATCATCGTCAACAACAACATCATCTCCATCGTCATCACGATCACGATCATGATTATGTAGTTCTCATGTAGTCTCACCATTTTTCCTTTCTCTAATGTTACCCCCCTGTCAACCCTCTGCCTACTGCATACCCCTCCTCCACCCTCTCCACCCTCCTCGGTCAGTTCTACGTCTGGTACACTCTTGCCCTGACAGGAGCTTCAATCGTTTGTGGTTCGTCTTTCCTCCCCCCTCCTCCCCCTCCTGCCTTTTCCCCCCCAGTGCTTCCAGGAGGCCCTTCTGAAGCAGACGACACCGCACGACGGAGTGGAGGCAACGGGGATGTATGTACGAGAGGTGTACGCGCGCAAGGAACTGCCGTACGGGCTCAGACGGGGCGTGGATGTGATTTGATGGGAAACGCGCAAGGGAAGGTCTTGCTCTGGGCTCTGGGCTCTGGGCTCTGGGCGGCTTCGGTTTTCCGGATTGGCGGGAAGGGGGTTTATTAAGGGGGATAGGGTGGGGGTTTGGTGGCTGCGGAGGCGGCGAGGTGTGAAAAGGGGCGAGGCGGCACATGCAACCAAAGCGCAATGACTTATCTGGGGGGTTTTGTGTCCAGGACGTTGGGGCAATGGCGTAAGTTCCATGGCGACGCCCGGTGTTGGGAAGGAAGGTTAGGGAATGGCAGTGTAGCTGTTTGATCCTCATGTAGCTGAGTGCGTGTATTGGTGCAGCGTTTTGGTGGTCCTCCTGGCATCCCGTGTACACCAGCACCAAACAATTGATTAAGATCCCCACTGAACAGCCAAGGGGGAGTGGGATACGGAAAGCAAGCAGCAAGGAAATGCCACTGGAGCACTTCTGAAGCGTGTAGTCCGAAGCGCGAGTCTGCTGCCGGCACCTGTGACAGCAAAGGCGATGTTTGCAGAAAGGAAGATGATCATGGCGGTCGCGGTCGAGGGACGGCAGCGTGTGCCATCGCATTTTACAGGCTATCCTACGCAGCCCGCTGTGCCTGTACTGCTTGTGATCGACTTGTGACCTGCTTATGATCAACCAAAGCGGAGCAATCCTATGAGGGTTGCGCGGTCATGTTTGGCTGGCGGTCAGTAGCGTTGACCTGTCTTTCCTACCGCTGGCTGCAAGGGCGGGCTGCTATCATTCCTACCGAGTTTGCTGCGCGACTGACCGGGTGACCGGGTACTGCTGATCGCCAGCCAAACATGACCGCGCAACCCTCGTATGATATGGCATAGAAAGCATTTGAAGCAGAATGTTTCACTGTAGACAACGTATGACGTGCGGCACGGTACGGTACCATTTCATGTCAACGCTGGCCGCGGCCGAACATCCGCGTCGTAGCATTCCCGACCTGCTCGTCCCGTTAAGATTCTCCCGCTTTGGAGTTCGGGGTTACGCCCGCACCGGCCTGCACGTCTTCGGAACATTTTCCTTGCAAGCGCGATGACTTTGTACGCACTGTGAAAATCGGTGTACTATTCATGTACAGGGTGACTTTTCATGTGACTTGAAAGAAAATGCTCGAGTACTGAGCTGGCAATTCTTTTTGCGAAACACCGTTTGGCGATTTGGGAATGACTTTTATAGGTGGATGAAATGAACATATCCGAAGAGCTTACATACGTTGTATTTGCTTTCTGGCTAATGCCACAAGTATTAATGGCACGAGCCGTCTCACGTCAGCAAGCGCGCAACCCCAGTTTTAGCTATCGTTACGGCAGTAACGCAGTCCGGTGGAGATCTTTTCCTTGGCGCTCCTGATTCTTGTGGTGCCTATCCCTACTTCATTTTGCCTTAAGTTGATATGTAGTCCCGTGATCCAGGACTGCATTTTACTCTTTGACATTTTTTTAGCCAAGCTTACACACACGCACTTGTTCCCCGCACATGTTAACATGACTTAAACCTAGGCAAAATTATGAGCCATTAAACTTAAAAAACTCTTGGAGTTTCGGCAGCACAGACATGGTGACGAAAAGGCATGCCATGGGCTGCGTAACCGAAGATTAGGACCGCCATGAAGTCGCTGGAGAATGACCTGGTGCTAACATTGCACAGCTGTTTGCAAGTTGATGAGGAGTCACGTCGAGGATGGGCAGCTAGGACTGCACCACAGCTCGCTCAGCGACTTGAGCAGCTCGCACCACAGTCGTGCACAGATGTCAACAGGATCGCGTGCTGTCTGCAACGCCGCCGCCGTTCGCTGTGTTGGTGCTTACTGCTACTAGGTACGGCACCGCGTCTCCAAGTCCCCGTACCTTCTCCTAATACCCCTCGCCCGGCCAGTAAATTTTTTCCGAACTCTTCCCCTCCCTCGATCTCACCTCACCTCACTTCACCTCACCACGCTTTTAAATGCCCTGATGTGCTGGGCTGAGTTGGGGCTGGCCTGATGCATCTCTACCGCCTGCACCTCTCTTCCTCTGGCGCCCTTGGTTTGCTCCGGCACTGCTCGGCTCCTTGGGGAGGCAATGCTTCTTTTGCTGCGGCCAACGAACTTGCTGCTACTGCATTTTGACTGTCGCTTTGTGTTTGCTGTTGCTTTGCGTTTGCTGCCGCTGCGTTTGCTGCCGCTGCGTTTGCTGCTGTCTGTATTGACTCCTGGTGCCTTAGGTGGCCGTGTAGACGTGCAGCTGCATTTGGTGGCTGAGCTGTTTCCCCAGTGCCAGGTCGCGTCGGAGGCCACCTTCCTGCAACAGCTCGCAGCGGAGCTAACACAACAACAACAGCAGTTTCAACAACAACAACATCAACAACAACAACAACAACAACAGCAACAACAACAACAGCAACAACCGGCCCAGCAGCAGCATGCGCTTCTTGATCGTCATTCTTCCATTACACTTACCCGAAATGATGTGGCAGGTGGGAGAGGGAATTCAACAGCAATTGCAGCAACAGTAGCAGTAGCAGCATCAGTAGCAGTAGCAGTAGCAATAGGTGGTTGACGTGGTGGTTATGGTGGGAGGGTGAGACAGGGGGCCCGGCCTAGGGGGGGCCGATTTCCCGGGTACGTGAGTGTGCTTCGGCGGGCGTTCACGGTTGCGGCTTTTTGACTGGTATGGTGTGCGGTTGACGGGTTTTCATTAAACCTCCTCCCAACCCCCGGCCTCCCTCCTGGACCTCCCTTTTTTCATTCCCTTACCTCCCTTGCGTGCCACGGCCCCCACATGGCGGCCATTGTGTCCCCCAGTCACACCGGGCTTGTTGCCGGATGACGGGGGCGCCAACAGCGACGGCGGCGGTGATGCCGGCGGCAGCGGCGGCAGCCGCAGCCTCCGGTCCTCAGAGCTGGTGCAGTACTGTACGGAACGTTTTGCGGCTCTGCTATCGTGCGTGAGCCGCGACCCGGATTGTACGGAGCTTGTTAGTCAGTTGGTACTGCGGAGGCGAGTTCGGGGTGGGGGAAAAGGTTTTCTGATAGCGCTACGGTTGGCGTGTTTCATGTGCGGCCACTTGACTCCCCCCCAGGAATGGCGCGCCCCTTGCATGTCTGGTGCGGATGCTGGCGGCGGCTGCGCAACCACCGCTGGTAGTGCTGCCCGGCGTCCTCGCGCCCTCTTCGCCCGGGAGCCAAAGTCAACGGACAACCACCACCCCCCGGACCCAAGTCAACGCTCTCGCCGCGGCGACAGCCGCCGCCAGGGCACTGTCGTACCTCTCAGCTTGCGGCGTAAGTCTAACCAGAGGCGACGCAGATAGGGACAAGAGGCGAAGGCGGGGAGAGAGGCCGCTAGGTGCACGTGACGGCGTAGGAATACACCTGCTGTTGCTGCCGCTGCTGTTGCTGCCGCTGCTGTTGCTGCCGCTGCTGTTGCTGCCGCTGCTGTTGCTGCCGCTGCTGTTGCTGCCGCTGCTGTTGCTGCCGCTGCTGTTGCTGCCGCTGCTGTTGCTGTTGCTGCCGCTGCTGTTGCTGTTGCTGCCGCTGCTGTTGCTGTTGCTGCTGTTGCTGTTGCTGTTGCTGCTGTTGCTGTTGCTGCCGCTGCTGTTGCTGCCGCTGCTGTTGCTGCCGCTGCTGTTGCTGCCGCTGCTGTTGCTGTTGCTGCTGTTGCTGTTGCTGCCGCTGCTGTTGCTGCCGCTGCTGTTGCTGCCGCTGCTGTTGCTGCCGCTGCTGTTGCTGCCGCTGCTGTTGCTGCCGCTGCTGTTGCTGCCGCTGCTGTTGCTGCCGCTGCTGTTGCTGCCGCTGCTGTTGCTGCCGCTGCTGTTGCTGCCGCTGCTGTTGCTGCCGCTGCTGTTGCTGTTGTTTTGGTTGTTGTTGCTGTGAAGATGGTGGTGTTGTGCGTACGTGTGTCGGAACATGTACGTCGCAACCCCACGAAACCCCTAGGGGGGTCCTAGGAGGGCGAAATATGCTGGGGACGAAACCATACGGCGGCTTTTGATGTGTGAGCTGGTTTGCTGGGTTTTAGGTGAGAGTCCCTTCCCCGCAGTAGCCCCACTTCCCCCCATTCCTCTCCCCCCTCTCCACTGCCGCCAGGAGGTGCGAGGGCAGCTGTTGGCGGTGGGGGCGGTGCCGCCGCTGCTGGCGTGTCTGACGACCAACGGCAACCCCCACCACCAGCAGCGGCATCAGCTGCTGCTACAACCGCAGCAGCAGCAGCAGCAGCAACCGCCGC